TCCATGAGAGGGTTAGAACGGAAAGAGGCAGGGATGCCTGTTCCCCAGGAACAGTTCCCTGGAAGGAACACAAATCCTCACAGCTGTGTGTGCCAGGCTCAGCTTGCAGGGCCCCAAATTCAATTAATCTTCAACCTAGTCCAATGCACATACCAGTAGGGAAAACTGTGTCAGAGCCAGGGGCTTTACAAGACAGTGGAAGAGATGCTGAAAACTCATGATAATATCTTCATTCTAAACCGAAGATGCAGTGGAAGAAACCAAGAAAAAGGGCAAAGAGTGGTGTCTGGAAAATGCGGGTTGAGATCCATCAGCATTCATGGAATAAATTCAGTGCCCATCAACCAGCAATTTTTGTTAGTGAAATACATGACTCTAGAGTAGATGACAAAAGACCAGACTAGTCAGTGTCAGACCGTCTCCCATGGAATAAGGGCTGGAACTTCCATAAAACACTTTTCAGTTGTATATACACAGCACTCACACCCAGCATAAGAAACGACTTCTTACTGTGGACCACAGTCACTGTCTCCCTCCATAGAGAGTTCTGGAATTCTTAGATCCGGATGGAACAGCAACCTAGGTCACAGGCACATCTTTCCCGGTCATCTTACAGAGTCGGTAGTATTCTGTTTCATGGAAATGAGTGGAAATGTCAGCACATGTGATAGCAGACTGCAAAGCTCCAATGCCCCAAATGCAGGGCAGGGCGCCTGACCCAAGCCACTGTGTTTTCAATTGCCTCATATGCATGTGAAAGCTGGACAATGAATAAGGAAGACTGAAGACGAATTGACGCCTTTGAATTGTGGTGTTGGCGAAGAGTATTGAATATACCACAGACTGCCAGAAAAATAAACAGGTCTGTCTTGGAAGAAGCACAGCCAGAATGCTCCTCAGAAGCAAGGATACTTTGGACATGTTATCAGAAGGGATCAGTCCCTGGAGAAGAACATCATGCTTGATAAAGTAGAGGGTCAGCGAAAGAGAGGAAGACTGTCAACGAGGTGGATTGACACAGTGGCTGCAACAACAGGCTCAAGCATAACAAGGATTGTGAGGATGGCACAAGATTGGGCAGTGTTTCCTTCCATTGTACGTAGAGTACCTATGAGTCGAAAGTGACCGGACAGCACCTAACAACAACCTCTGAAATCTGGTATTGCAATCCACCAGCCGTCCCCAAACACCACCACCTACTGTCAACACAGTCAGGCCATCCCCAACATCCCCTTCTCCAGGAAGTCTTCGTGGCCAGCCCCATCTAAGTCACATGATTCCCTTTTGGACTCATCCAGATTTTTTTCTTTTTTTTGGTCAGGAGGGCATATCGTCAAAGTTATCTAACTGCTTTATGTATGTACATAGAATGTATCAGGTAAAATGGAAAGTTCTCCAAGAAAATAACGTCTATGTATATACAGTCCCAAAGCTTCTGGTACAAAGCTGTTGTCCATCAAAGTGAATGACAGCAACAGGCCCTGGTTTACAACACCATCAGGGAGCTGGTGCTTAGCAACCCTCTCTCCAAAGGAGACGAACGAACCAGTGTGATCTGGAACCCGCAGCCTAGGTTCAAATCATCGCTCTAACCCTTCTTAGCATGTAACCTAGAGCAAGTTTCTTAAAGTCTCTACGTGTCAGCATCTTCATCCAAAAATAATAAAGTTCTTGTATGCTGTCAAGTAAATTCTGAGTCATAGCGACCCCATGTGACAGAGCAGAACTGCCCCATAAGGTTTCCTAGATACGGAAGCAGAGCACCAGGTCTTTTCTACCACAGAGCAGCTGGTGGGTTCGAACCACAGACCTTTCAGTTAGCAGCCAAGCACTTAACCACTGTCCACACATCCGCTGTAGCTCCCACTCCTACTGAACACAAAAACCTGCACAAGCATTCTGCTACTTGTGTGTCTTCGTGCTTAAATTAAGTGACCCTGGTCAAAAAATTTGTTACTCAATCACACAGAAAATGGCCTTGTTGAAAATTTTACTTTGGATGCCTTGTTTACTGGGCAGTAAACTATTATCTGAAACACCTCCTGCCTGTCCCCTTATTAGGGCCGAACATCCTCTGGCGGACCCTTACCTGCAAGGTGCGCATGAGCGGCAGGTTCAGCTCTTAGAAGGGGACTACAAAGTGTGGGCTCCAGAGAAGCCGCGTCAGGAGACCCAGAACAAGGCCTGGAGGCAAGAGGGCACACTGACTCCATGTCACCATAAAGACATGAAGACCACGTCAAAATGCAGAACACCCAGCAAGGGCCACCCTTCCGGAAACCATGTTTAACCTCGAAGAACCCCAAAGAGCTGCTTTCTCTGTGTAGAACAACTCATAATTCTATCTCCATTTTCAACAGAGCAAAAACTAAAGAAAAAAAGTTTAAAATACACAAAAACAAGAGCCACATCAGAGCAATCCTTCAATCTCAGCTGCTGAGAGAGCACCTCGTGCGAAATAACGCGATACAAAATTAGCAGCAAGGGAGGTGACGCTTCAAATAAAACCCAGCAGGTCTGTCTTGCAGATGAAAGTTTGCGCCCATGTACGAGCATCACTGAATTCACTGTGTCTTATAAGAAAACACCCACTAAAGAAAGAAAGGTCTTCCGAGACTCCCGTCTCTAAATGATTTCACTTCAATGAAAGTATGCAGATACAAGTCTACCCAATCAAATTTAATAGTATAAGAATATATTTGGAAATCCAAAATTACTTCTGGATTACTTAAAACTTCCTGCAATTTTTATCTATTCTTACACTACAAGCATCTGTTTTTCCAAAATGTCACTGGAGTTAATCGCAAATATACAGAATACATTGCTAATTTTAACCTTGGCACGCAAAGGCAGCTTTAGGCAATATCAGGTTGCCAAAATTATCATCCTAAAATTCTTAATACACACACCACATAGCTTTCTTTATAGAGCACCAATTTTTTATAACACATTCGTTAAAGGTCGAGAAATTCTGTTGCAGAATCCAAGGGCTCTGCCAGACAGCTGTACTGCCTCCAAGATGACTTCATTCATGGTTGGTTACATCGGTTCCCTGGGCCGCGGCAACCATGAAACACGTCTGTTCCAGACTGTATGGCAAAGTTTCAAAGCTAGGAAATCACTTTCCGGAAACATTTTTACAATAGCCATAAGGTGGTTTTCCGAAGTAATACATTAAAAGAACATTACAGGACGGATGTGAGAGCTGAGGCAGCTACAATGAAGAGTTGAGTGGAAGAGTCTTGTTCTTTGAAGGGATTAGAGCAGGCTGCAAACTGCAAATTGCACCGCACCTCCTGCAATTTCAGGGTCCCTGGGTGGTGCAAACAGTTAACTCACTCAGCTGCTAACCAAAAGGTTGGAGGTTCAAGTCCACCCAGAGGAGCATCAGAAAAAAGGCTTAGTGATCTACTTCCAAAAACTCAGCCATTGAAAACCCTGTGGAGCACAGTCTACTCTGACACACAGGGGTTGCCATGAGTCGGAATCAGCTAGACAGTAACTAGTTTCTCCGATGATAAGTCAGCCCCATAAAAATCACTAAACCAGGCGTGTCAGAAGGTGAGCAACTCCGGGGGCTCCTCCGGGGGGCTGCCCCACACTTTGCCTCCTGGGACACCTCCAGGCCAGTGAATGAATGAGCCCTCACACCTCCAGGGACTCAAAGGCATCTTTCTTCCAAAGGGCAACGGTAGAGAATAGGTGAGTAAAAGTGACGAGAGCAGGAACAAAGGCGCCTGGGATCTCTCCCCTGCAGAGGCAGGATCTGCTAAACGACACACATGTGGCACATATAACAGTATTTCCACGGGGGAGCCTGAGGTCTGACAGGGGTGCCTGGAGCAGCATCAGCCTCAGCCTCCCACATCTCCCGAGGCACCAAAGCACCCCAACAAGTTCCATGTAAAGCATTATTCGCATCAACTTCCCCTTATTTAAACTGAGTAAATTCAGAACCTCTCCCTTTCAAGGAGATAAGCAACGAAAGTATTTAAGAGCACTCAGAGAGAAACAGAAAGGAATTCCATTACACGCTGAGCATGATTATGTTCGCTGTAAAAAGACTCCTGGGCCTTTCCCGCAAGTTCAGGCTGCGCTCGATGTATGGCCCCGGAAACTAGGAGCCCTTCGTCCGAAAGTTGGCCTTGCAAGGTCTTGGAAGCTCATGGACAAATCCAAACTCCCTGAGGGTCCGAACTGCTGGGTTGAGGGCTATGGGGACCATGGTCTCAGGGAATATCTAGCTCATTTGGCATAACACAGTTTACAAAGAAAATGTTCTACATTCTACTTTGGTGAGTACCGTCCGGGGTCTTAAAAGCCTGTGAGCACCCATCTAAGACACTCCACTGGTCTCACCCCTTCGGGAGCAAGGGAGAATGAAGAAAACTAAAGATACAAGGGAAAGATTAGTCCAACGGACTAACGGAGCACTACTACCACAGACTGAGTCCAGTACAACTAGATGGTGCCCGGCTACCACCACTGACTGCTCTGACAGAGATCACAATAGAGGGCCCCAGACAGAGCTGGAGAAAAATGTAGAACAAAATTCTAACTCACACACACAAAAAAAAAACCATACTTACTGGCCTGCCAGAGACTGGAGAAACCCTGAGTATGGCCCCCAGACACCCTTTCAGCTCAGTAATGAAGTCACTCCCGAGATTCACCCTTCAGCCAAAGATTAGACAGGCCCATAAAACAAAATGAGACTAAAGGGGCACAACAGCCCAGGGACAAGGACTAGAAGGCAGGAGGAGACAGGAAAGCTGGTAATAGGGAACCCAAATTCGAGAAGGGACAGTGTTGACATGTCGTAGGGTTGTTAACCAATGTCATAAAACAGTATGTGTACTAACTGTTTAATGAGAAACTAATTTGCTCTGTAAACCTTCACCTGAAGTACAATTAAGAAAATTTTTAAAAAAGCAGTAAACAAACACAAACCAAACCAAAGTCGGCCTTGACCGTGGTTGGTGCTGCCGCGCCGGGCCTACCTTCACTCTGACTGTCTGATCTGACAGACTGCTCATCATGTCGTTGATGGACCGGAACAGCTGCAGCAGGGACTCCATGAAGTCGGCCTCTCCTTTGTCTTCATACAATCTGCAAAGAAACACACAAAGCTCGGTGGGGTCCTGACGAGAGAAGCCCTCATCCCATTTCGTCCTGCGTCTACGACCATGACAGAGCTGCCTGGTGACAAGTCAGAACGTGAGGCCATTCCCTCAGTCTGGAAATGAGACTAATTGGGATCGCTCAACTGTACAGATGTGCCTTCCCAGTAAGAAGCAGAGTTTTAAAATGAAAACATTTATTGATTTTTTTCACCGTAATATAATACATTTCATGAGGCACTGGTGGTTCGGTGGTAGAATTCTCGCTTTCCATGAAGGACACCCAGGTTTGCGTCCTGGCCAATTCACCTCATGCGCAGCCACCACCCATCTGTCAGTGGTAGACTGCATGTTGCTATGATGTAGAACAGGTTTCAGTAGAGCTTCTAGACTGAGAGTGACTAGGAAGAAATGCCTGGAGATCTACTTCTGAAAATCAGTTGGTAAAAACCCTATGGATCACAATGGTCCAATCCCCAATCGATGATAAGGATGGCGCAGGCTGGGTAGTGTTTCATTATGCTGAGCATGGGGTTGTCATTGAGTCAGGAGCCAACTCAACAGCAGGTGACAACAACAATACATTTCAGAAATTGGGAAAACACTTAAGTATACAAGAAAGGAGGAAAGAAGCAAGGGAGGGAAGGAGAAAGGGAGAGAGGAAAATTCAGCCCTAATTCCACCCCACAGAGATTACACTTTTAATATTTTGGTTTATTTCCTGCCAGTGTTTTTTAAACCCATATATCACGTAACTGATGATCAGAAAGACACTTGATTATCTAAATTTAACATGATGTTATAACCATTTGAAACGGACATTATAATAGTAAATTCAAAATTAATTTACTTCAGAGTAATGATACTTTACAAATTCATTCATTTTAGAATCAATGGCACCTGGACAAATTTTCAAAAGGTAGAGCATATTTAACAAACATGATACAGAAGTTGTACATTGGCTGCAAAAATGCAAATATGTCGCTAATTGTAAATAAGCTTCATCTATAAATTATTTATTAGCAGTTACTTCAAGTTGCTGTTACTAAAAAGCAATGCATTTGAATTTAAAATGTTGCAACTCTGATGTTTTATTAATACAGACTAGTTTTCTGCCTAATTAAAAGTATACCATACCTGAAAACTTGTGTACAATGGAAAATTTTGTAAACTAAGTGATAATTAATTACCCTAGAGGTAATCTTATATTTAAATGAGTTCCACTGTAAAGCAAAGAAGTCTATCTAAAATGGGAAACTGCAACCTAGTGTATCTGTTTTGTAAATAAGGGTTTTCAAATGGGTGCTGGCTTAAATGGTGTATTAAACAATTAAAATTATGGAATCATGACCTTCTATTTGCAGGTGGGATGCAGCAACATTTGGCAGGTGTCACAGAACACTTGGAGAGGCTACAAGCATGCAAACATTCACCTCACAGGACACCGGCCAAATCCTGTGGCTGAATGTGGTTGAAAGGCTAAAAACCAAAATGAAAACCTCTAAAAAGCAGAGTGAGGTTTTTAATCAGCTTCCAGAGAAAATAAATAGTTTGGAAAATGCCCCAGATAACAGAGCACAGTTCTCAGCTGAAAACCCTGGAGGGCCAGGGATAAACAGAAAGCAGACTGAGCCTCACCAAGACTACAGCGCTGATGTAGCTCACTCCCTCATTGGACTGAAGTGGTCAGCCCCATTCTCTATGCCTAGAAGACAGAGGATGAATCGTCTCTAGAGGAAGATCACATTATCTGGAGATTCGATAGTTTTTTCATATACACAGTCCTGTATTCAAACAAAAAATACTAAGCCCTACAAAAGACAGGACCGCATGGCCAAATAAAAGAGAAAGAAAAGGCAACAGAAACAGACTCACAGGTGACCCAGATAGGAACACCAAAATAATTCTACTTATTATGTTTTAAAATACAGAAAATAAGATGGAGAATTTCACTAGAGAAGCAAATCTATAAAAATAAAACAAACATTCTACATCTAAATCAAATGAACATTCAGAAACTAAAAATATCTAAAATTAGGAATTCGTTATACGGGTTAACTAGAGATTACACACAGCAAAAGACAGAATTCGCGAATTGGAAGACGACCAACAGAAAAATAACTAAACAGAAGTACAGACGGAGAGAATAGAGGAAAGAATTTAGAGGGCACAACAGAGAGGTCTAAGACAACACGCAATTGAAGTCTCAAAAGGAGAGACAATGGAATACTGGCTGTGAATTTTCCAAAACTGATGAAAGACATCAAGCCCAAAATTCAAAAGGCTCTGAGAGCCCAGTGTCGGATACGTAAAAAGATTCCCATGCAAGTCATAGTAAGACAGCTAATAACCACAGGAAAAGAGAAAACTTATAAAAGCAGCAAGACAACAAAAGATACCATTAACCCGAAAGGAGCAACAAGAAGCAAAAGCTGACTTCTCACCAGAGATAATGAAAACCAGAAAGCAATAGAATGGCATCTTTAAAGTGGAAGAGGAAAATAACGGTTAACGTAAAATTCTATATTAAATCAAATTATCCTTCAAAAACTGACATAAATTGTTCTCATACAAACAGAGCGTGCAACATCTACACTAAAAGAAATGCCACAGGGAGTTTCTCCAGGAAGTTATCCCAGAGAGAAACATGAAATTGAAGGAAAGATGAGAAACAATGAGTAAAGATAAAGAATACTGAATGAATACAAATTGTACAAAATAATAACTGTAACGTCTTAACCAAAAACCAAAAACTAAACCCATCACTGTCGAGTCAATTCCAACTCACAGCAACCCCATAGGGTTTCTGAGGCTGTAAATTTCTACAGAAGTAGACTGTCACATCTTTCTCCAGCGGAGCCACTGATGGTTTCAAACCACAGACCTTTTGGTTAGTAGTCGATCACTTAACCACTGCACCACCAGAGCTCCTTAGTAACATATGAAAAAAAACAAAAACCAAACCAGTTGCCGTCGAGTCAATTTCAGCTCATAGTGACCCTATAGGACAGAGGAGAACTGCCCCATAAAGATTCCAAGGAGTGGTTGGAGGATTCAAACTGTCAACCTTTTGGTTAGCAGCCTAACGCCTAACCACAGCACCAATAATGTCCTAGGGGGGTTAAAATATATAGAATTAAAATGCATGACAATAACAACACAAATGCGAGGAGAGAGTCAATGAAATTAAAGTGTTCTACTTCTCTAGTCATATCTAGGGGAGTGGTAAAAGCAATCATTTGAATAACTCCGTAAGTCAATCATGAATGTTGTTATCTCTACGATAATCACTAAAAGAACAGTGAAAGAATGTTTAACTAACACATTAAGAGAGGAAAAATAAGATAACAAAAATATAAAATTTTGATTAGTATAAAAGAAGGCCAAAAAAAGAAGGGAACAAAACAGATGGGTAAAAGAGAAAATTAAAAGAAAGATAATAAATATAAGCCTAATATATTACCTAATTACATTATATATAAATGAACTAAATACCTGGTTATAAAGATTGTCAGACTGGATGAAATAAAAATCCAGCTATATACCTCACATAAAAGACACACCTTAAATATAAGTGCATAGAAAGGTTGAAGTACAAGAATGGAAAAAGGCATTTCATTACAAACGTTAGCCAAAAGATAGAGGTAATTTCACATCAGTAACAGAGTAAATCCACAAGAAAGATGTCACAATTCTAAATCTCTATGCCCCCAACAACACAGTTCCAAAATCTATAAAGTATAATTAATGTCTTTAGTATATTTAAAAGTCTACTAAGACTCTTTCAAGTATGAAAATTTAATAACCAGGTTTCTTTGCTCCTGACCAATACATTTAGAACATTTAAATGATTACCACCTTATAGCGATATCTTTGAAGTGTCTTGGGTAACGAGAGACCACTGATGAAGTCTCTAGAGTCTTACCTCTTGGTTTTATCATATAAACCAGGAAGATTCACTTGTTTGACCCACCTTGAAATGGAGGAAGGGGTAGGACGAGGGAACGCAAAGGCATATTGGTAGATACATAGATGAATAAAACACATCATTCCTCGGTCTGTTTAAATGTTATAAATATTCACTAACAATGAATGGCAGGATCTTTGTCTATTAACTACATTCTATTTCTGTGACCTAGGGATGAGAGCAGAATGACAGATCTGCAACAACTTATCCATGATCAATAACTAATTATTCACAAAGCAAACAGCAAATGACAGGCAAAAACTCCACAAAGCACAAGAAAGACAGAACAGGAGCTGAGCGATACCTTGTTTTAGTAATTTGATTCAGAGGGTCTGACGCAGGACCGGCCCACTTTCTGGCTGTCTGGTTAATGCAATCTGCCCACACAGAAAACACGTGAACAGCAGAGAAGTGCCCCTGGCTGTCAGCAGTCTTTCAGTGGGTTCCCCACAAACCAAATGTCTGTGGGCCAGAGCTTTAACTGCTGTTCTCATTTCAGAACAAAATGAGCTTTCCAAACAAATCAAAAACCATGCATTTGCCTAGCTAGAAAGATAGTGGGATAACCATAGTAAGCTTTAATATCTTCATCTCCAAACCTTCACCTCTCTGTTCTTTGGAAGAATAATTACTGTCAATTATTATAGAATTTAACAAAGCTACCACATTCACAGTATAGGAAAACACAGCAGACCATTTTGAAAGGAAAAGAAAAACAGAAGACCTCAAAAGTTCATTCCAACTGCAAAAAGAAAAAAACACTTGTCAATTCCAGCTGTGAGCACCATTGTTTTTCTCCCAAGGTAGTAAGTGTGTTGTATCTAAGAAAATGAAGGCCTTGGTTTGTTTTTATTCCCCCACTCCTGAAAATACCACCCATGAGGCCTGCTTAGAGCTTGTTATGGATCCAGCATTCCACACATCTGGGAGGGACACAGGATTGCTGTGGTCTTTTAAGTAGCCTATACAAAATAGGAGTATTATTTCATCTAAAAGTAATGCCTTTGATATCACAGATGAAGAAGTAACTAAGGAAATGTTATAGTAAGACAACAGGGAGTAGGGTGAGGAGGAAAGATTCCTAAAAAAGAATTTTAGTACAATTTTTTAGTAACATAAAGATAGCCCCATTATCCATGCGTTTAAGGTCATGATTGTTTTCCTATCATATTATCCGTAAGATATTAAAAGATCTTCTCAACAGTTTTAGACTACAGGTTTAAATTTAAGAAGTATCTGCCATATTCCCACAATGTGGCTATAACCATGGTCTAAGTGCCAAAAGGAACTTGTGTCCTTCTCTGTTCTCAAGAAGCATAGAAGGCAGCCAAGATACACATTTAAGAAACACCTAGAGAAAAAAAATAATAAGGTCAGTAAACTACTAACATCTAGGACCAGGGTTCAGAAGCTCATTAAGTACTCATGGAAGAAGGAAGGAAAGGAAAGACGGAGGAGAGCGGGAGGGAGGGAAGAAAGGAGAGAGAAGCCCTAAGTAAGTCAACGCTCCCCTCTGAGGTAATGGGAAAACCACACTTATGGTTCTCAGTAATGTTTCTTGACTGATGAAGGAGAGAGAAGGAAAACAGTTTCATAAAATTAAAAAGATAATGTGCACAAAAAGTAGGCCTGGACACAAGCACTTTTATCCTAAACTAACATCCCCCATACACTCTGGTAATTCCAGGTCTGATCTGACACTTTTTCTCTCTTCTCTCTTCTTTCTCCCATATATTAATGCCTCAGGACCACAGCTTCAACAGTAAGGAGACCCTAGAAGAGCTACTAGTGAATGAGAAAGCCCAAAGCCTGTTCTGAAAAATATGGGAGAGGCCGGGGCAGCGTGAATATGTGACATGGAAGAGCATTCCTGAAAGGTGCCTTAAGACAGCTGGGGCCTGTGGAGGAAGGGGACACAATGGGACAAGGAGGCAAAGGCAACGAAAGAACTGTCTCTCACACCCACCACCAGGGATTTGGTCCCACACCTCTGTTGTGGAAGAAGCATTGCTGTGTCTTCACATCTCAGGGTCAACAGGGGACTGCCACAGAGCAGCAGGGTGAGGGAAAGGTCTTGCTTGATGTGAAAGCTCTAAGTCCTTGAAGAAGGACAGCTTTGTCCTTTAGGGAACAGGTAAAGTAGACCACTGTCTCACAGTCTTCCAGCCTGTGAGGCATACAGAGTCTGTGCCTCTTCCACACTTGCAGCAGGCAGTGTTTGTTTGAGAGGTGCTGCTTCAAGGACTGAGGGATAAAAGAGGAGTGGGACAAAGTTCAGTCTTTCGTGGAGGAGAGGCCCTGGCCAGATTACCCCTCGAGGTGTCTTCGTGACAGCAGACAGTGATGCAGACTTGACCTATCTCTCATACGCCTAGTCCCAACGTGAAGCCGGGCTCAGGGCAACACAAAAAATGTTACTAGCTCCTGATCAGTGCCTGGGGCGGCCAACTGCCCACTGATGGACATGGCCAAGGAAGGTCTGTGTTTTGGTGTTGGTGTGTCCCCATAGCAGATCTTTGCAGGTACGCAGTAAGCATTTGTTTTAAACTGAATGAATGAACTGATGAAGTTTCCAGTTCCTGTTACCAGGGAAGTGAGCAGATCTTGTATGCTTTCACCACCGTCATCACCATCACTGTTATTATCAGCATCAGAGCCATCATTAGCACCATGATTAGCATTTGATTAGATAAGGCTAGGGAGGCCCAGGCAAGGGCCCTGGGGGACTTAAGAACCCTCACTGCCTTTTGGCAACTGCTGCTTCTCAGCTTTGAAAAAAATAAATCCGATGCCATAGAGTCAACTCTGACTCATCGCAACCCTATATGAAGAAGAACATGGCATCAGAATTGGAGGAAGACTCACTGACAACCTGCGTTATGCAGATGATACAACATTTCTCGCTGAAAAAGAAGAGGGCTTGAAGCACTTACTGATGAAGATCAAAGACCACAGCCTTCAGTATGGATGACACCTCAACATAAAGACAACAAAAATCCTCACAACTAGACCAACAAGCAACATCATGATAAACAGAGAAAAGATTGAAGTTGTCAAGGATTTCATTTTATTTGGATCTACAATCAACACCCACAGAAGCAGCAGTCAAGAAATCAAAAGACGCATTGCACTAGGCAAATCTGCTGCAAAACACCTCTTTAAAGTGTTAAAAAGCAAAGATGTCACCTTGAGGACTAAGGTGCACCTGACCCAAGCCATGGTGTTTTCAATCGCCTCATATGCATGTGAAAGCTGGACAAAGCATAAGGAATACTGAAGAAGAATTGATGCCTTTGAACGGTGGTGTTGGTGAAGAATATTGAATATACCATGGACTGTCCCAAGAATGAACAAGTCTATCCTGGAAGAAGTACAACCGGAACGTTCCTTAGAAGTAAGGATGGTGAGACTTCGTCTCACTTACTTTGGACATGTTGAGGATAAGGACATCGTGCTTGCTAAAGTAGATGGTCCTCAGAAAAGAGGAAGACTCTCAAGAAGATGGACTGAAAAAGTGGCTGCAACAATGGGCTCAAGCATAACAACAATTGTGAGCATGGCCCAGGACCGGGCATCTTTTCCTTCTGTTGTACATAGGGTCACTATGAGTCGGAACTAACTCGACAGCACCTAACAACAACAACAACAACAACTTCTGACTTTCTTGTACTTCTTTGTCCTGGACATTCTCAGCATGTTTGACCAAAAACTTATTTCACCACAGAGATGTAATTTGGGAGTAGGCCTGGCTCCCGCTAGGGCTATGCCAGGACAAAGGCACACAAAGGAATCATGTCTGTGCTGACTCAGTGCAGCTAAGCACCCAACCAAAGGCATTTCTGAAGGCAACGTTTCACTCATATGCACACACTGCAGCTGGGAACTAAAATGAATAGAAGTGGCTGAGATGATTTTTAATAACAAGTACTGGTTCATAGTGCTTGAACCACAGGACAATATTTAATGGCACAAGAGAGCGGCTAAGGTATGAGTGGACCATCTCCCCCAGTGTGATCAATTACTGCTCTGCTATGCCAGAAAGCAAGGAAAAGGAGGAAGAGGAGAGAATGAGGAAGGGAGAAAGACAGGGAAGTAAAGGATTTCTGGAAAGTCTTCTCGAGAGGCAGCACGGGGGTACCTACTGATTGAACAGTATCCGGGAGCGCACAATGAACTTGAAGATGTATTCCAGCGCTTTCATCGCCTTGTACAGCTGCTCATTTATGCCCGGCTTCTCGGCATTGTCCACATAATTCCTTAACACTTTTGTCAGCTTCCTGTTCAGAATGGAAACACAAATTAATGGTAAGTTCAGAAACGTTCAATATCTCAATTCTTAACCAGTACAGAAATGCACAAGTGCGTGATTTTTATTTTGGTTTATGCTTTTCAGTATATGCATATTTGTAGAAGTTTTTCTAATCTGACAAAGTGATTCATAAAATAACTCTCGGGGAGTAAGATTTGAGCATTTGGTAAGCACTTTCTAAGCCTCAGGCATTGTTCTGAGCATGCTGACTGTATTATCTAATGTAAGCCCCACAACAACACGGGAAGGCAGTAGTAGGATTACCCCTAGTTTACAGATGAGGAAGTAGAGGGTCAAATGGGTAACCTAGATTTCCTAATGTTAAACAAAACAAACCAAAAAAAATCTAAGGGATTTTCAGTAGAGCCCAACAGAGTCACAAGAAATCTTACCAAAAAGGCAGCGTCCTGAAATGTTCTAGAAGTAGACATGGTGAATAGTCACACAACATTGTGAGTCTACTAAGTGCCGCTCATTGTACACTTTAAAGTCATTAAAATGGTAAATTTTATGTGTGTTTTACCAGAATAAAAAAGACATTATAGGAACCGGTACTTGTTATTAGAAATAGTCTCAGCCACTTCTATTCATTTTAGTTCCTTTTCTAAAACAACTTAAGTTCTTACACTGAAAATAAAAATTTTACAAGAAATTTTTCTTAAATTCTTTTTTTTTAATTGTACTTTAGATGAAGGTTTACAGAACAAACTAGTTTCTAATTAAACAGTTAGTAAACATATTGTTTTATGACATTGGTTAACAACCCCATGACATGTAAATAATCTCCCTTCTCAACCTTGGGTTCCCCACTACCAGCTTTCCTGTCCCCTCCTGCCTTCTAGTCCTTGTCCCTGGGCTGTTCTGCAACATTCTTAAATTCTTAATGAATTTTCTAAGAATCCTTATATGAAGAGTACACACAATATAGGAGAATAATATGGGTGGATACCTGAACAGATTTTTAAATACCTTTTACATTTCCTGATAATAGAATTCCCCCAAAAAAAGTTTAATTTTAAAAGTATAATCACCATACTTCTCTTAAAAGGCTACATAAACTGTGATCTAAAAACAAGTATCTCCCCCACCTGAAAGTATTTAATAAAACTTTTTATAATAGAAGTTTATACAGTTTATAATGCATAAAAACTGGTCAGAACTTTTTCTAAATTTTCATCCAACTACAGAAATGGTTGGAGGCAGCTGGGACAAATAACTGTATGCTGGAAGTCTTATTTTAATTAATAACTTCATGATTTATTTCAAGTGCTTAGTTTACAGGTAATTTTAAAATTTCCAGACTAAAAGTGAAGGAAAAAGCATAAATAAATTTCTATTTTTTTTGAATTAATTAATTAACTCAAAAAATACAGAAAATTCAAATGATCAAAGGTTAATTAAAACAGGAAAAAAATGAGCCCAAGAGGCCTCATTCAGGCACATCACAGAAAAAGGGAAGACAAATAGTCCAGACACATAAAAAAAAAAGCCAAATTCATTTATAAATAAATGCATACAAATTAAAATAACAAGTAGCCAACTGTTTGCCTAGTACATTGGAATAACTGGGAAAGACTGAAAAAATAACATAGTCGGACAAGATACAAGGAAGCAGGAACAATACAGGTAGGATTAACAGACAGGACACTCTCTGGCGGGTAAATTGGCCATATCTATTAATATTTAAAACATTCAAGTCCTTTGACATCAGCAATTCCACTTCTAGTAATCTAGCCTACAAAAACAATTAAAATGTATTGTTGTTGTTGTTGGGTGCTGTCAAGTCAATTCCAACTCATGGCAACCCTATATGACAGAGTAGAACTGACCCATAGGGTTTCCTAGGCTGTGATCTTTATGGAAGCAGATCACCAGGTCTTTCTCCTGTGGAGCCACAGGGTAAGTTGGAACAGCCAACCTTTCAGTTAGCTGCCAAGCACTTAACCATTGCACCACCAGGGCTCCTTGTACAAATGTATTAAACAATATTTATGGCAGCATTGTCTACAGAAAAAACATATATATAAAAAATGCAAATATCCATTGTTTAGGGACTGGTTAAATAAGTTATGACATATCCCTACAATGGAATACTGCACAGCTGTTAAATAAGTAAGAAGGGGAGGGATGGCTCCATCAGCATCAATGTGAGAAAACTGCATTATACTGTTAATAAAAAAACAGCAGTTATAAAACAGCAGATATGTGTGGGATTCTATTCTGTATTCTGTATTCTCATCTATTAAACTATTTATTTATCCTTATGCCAATACCACACTATATTGATTAGTGCAGCATTATAGTTAGTCTAGAAATCAGGTTGGTCTAAAAACTTAATTTGGCTATTCTGAACATTTTGAATTTCCATATAAATTTTCAAACTGGCTAGTCAATTTCTTCAAAAAAGCCTGCTGAGATTTTGATTCAGAGTGTGTTGAAACTATAGATCAACTTGGGGAAAATACACATTTTAGCAATATTTTATCTTTGGATCCATGAACATGGTATATATCTCGAATTATGTAGTTCTTCTTTAATTTCTATCAGTAGTGTTTTGTAATTTTCAGGGTAGAAATCTTACACATCTTTCATTAAATTTATTCCTAAGTGTTTTGCATTAAATTGCATCCCCCAAAAATGTGTATCAACTTGGCTAGGCCATGATTCCCAGTACTTTGTGGTTGTCTACCATTTTGTGATCTGATGTGATTTTCCTGTATGTTGTAAATCCTCATCTCTGCCTGTGGTTAATGAGGCAAGACTAGGTTATGTTAAATAGGATTAGGGTGGGATGCAACACCCTTACTCAGGTCACAGCCTAGGGAGTTTCCCTGGGGTGTGGGCTGTATCACCTTTTATCTCACAAGAAATAAAAGGAGAAAAGAAGCAAGCCAAGAAAAACAGACCTCATACTACCAAGAAAGAAGCACTGGGAGCAGTGAGTGTCCTTTGGAACTGGGTTCCCTGCAGTGGAAGCTCCTAGACCAGGGGAAGACTGACAGCAAGGATCTTCCCCCAGAACCTACAGAGAAAGAAAGCGTACCCCTGGAGCTGGCACCCTGAATTTGGACTTCTAGCCTCCTGGACTATGAGAGAATAAACTTCTGTTTGTTAAAGCCATCCACTTGTGGTATTTCTGTTATAGCAGCACTAGATAACTAGGCCACTGGGTATTGGATGATACCCGAGAATCCAGGAACCGGATTCAGTTACATTAATTGCTGGTGTCCGATAGCCAAAATCCTCCAACCCTGACATCATGGTTACACATAAACGGCAAGCAGATTTTTCCTTAAAAATAATTCAACACATAGATGGAAGCTTGGACTCAATTCACCAATACTAAAAAGAGCTTTCCAATGATTATAAGTGGGATGTCCTTAGATTATTTAAGTATTTCTTTTTCACCACAACTCACACAATAAAACACTGGAATCACTGCCAAAACCCACCATGGAGAGAGGAAATCTTCATAATAATTATAATAATAATAAAGCTCACAATTACATGGTATTCAATATGGCAGGGATTCTTCCAAGAATGTTACATACAATAATTCATTTAAATCCTGACACAACCCTATGATTAGGTCCTTTCTACAGAACAGAAGGGTGAAGCCCAGAGAGGTGGAGTAATTTGCCCAAGATTACAGAGCTTTTAAATGACAGAGCTGTATTTCAAACACAGGAAGCCTGGCTCCAAGACTGTACTCTTAATACTAGATGTGGGCCTCAGTGTTTGAATAGACTGCAAGGAGTGGGTGTGGGGGACTGGGCAGGTCGGCAGTAACTGGGTGGACAGTAAGAATCCAAGTTAGTTTTAGCTGCAGTTTGTGGTACAAAAAAGCAGGCACTCTTTAAAGAGCAAGGAGAAATACTGCAAAACACAAAACTGAATTTTATTCACACTAAACAACCAATAACTTCAAAACAGAAACAAATGCATTTACTCATTCATCAAATGATTGTTGAGAACCTACAGGGAGGCAGGTACTCTGCAGCTGTATATCAGTTTCATCGAACATAAACTAAAAATTTCAAAGATAAATGAGAGGTGTGGAGAAGAACAAGAATTTATTCCAGGATGTTAGGATAATTTATTGCATATCTCTTTCAACAAGATTCTCAAGTCTGTTAAAAGAAAAACAATAATAAAAACTATACCAGTAAATTCAGAGTTTTGAGGGAAAAATGCACAATCACAGATAAAACTACCATATTTTTACACAAATAACGTGCACCTTCCATGTTTGTTTGCCAACCGATTCCTTTCCCTGCAAGGTATTCTCGTAAACGCTGCTTTGTCATTTTTTTTTCACATATAGCTGTAAAAAAAAAATTTGCATAGCACATCTACAAAAATACCTGGTAGGGGGAAGGGAGCAGTTAGCAAACAAACGTAGAAGGTGCGCGTTATTTGCATAAAATGTGGTGCGTGAAAAAGGCTTAATAACAAACACACACAAAAAGCACTGGTTTTAAAAAAACAAAAAGGAACTTACGTGTAAGCTAATGTTGCACTGAAATGTTTCTTAATGTAGGTTTCCAAAACAGGATTAAAATGTTGAAATTTCCTATCAGCAATCAGTCCAATGATAAATACCTGCCAAATTAATTAATATTTTCATTAGCAACATGATGGAAACCATTCTAGAGTCTTCATGTAAATCATCTGTATCACAACTCGAATAAATGAACAAGGGCATTTTCAGACGTAAGTTGGTCAGCTGGTTGTCTCTTCTTAACATAGAAGTTATATTTGCATAATCATAGTTTTACATTAAAAGAAACTTTTTATCTCTCAACTCATCTGCTTTGATTGGATTTATAACTGAAACCGCTTTTAAGGTTTCCGTGATGGAGATCCACCCCCAGCTTCAAACGCTGCAGCTTGAAAGAGCGCGTTAATATCTCGGAGGATGAAAAGTAAAGAACTCTTACCAGAGCATCAAATACTAGTGTGTCAAAAGTCTCGCTCTCTGAGTTCTCCATCATGATGTTGAAGAGCGCATCCAAGGTGTCCTGGAGGAACTGCAGGTAGAGAACAGGTCAGCAGACACAGAAAATGCACCCGACATTCCCCCAACCTTGAAAAACCATCATCTTTGGCAATTCTCCAAATACCCACCTGTTATGATTGAATTGTGTCCCCCAAAATATGTATTGGAATCCTAACCCCTATACCTGCGGATATAATCAAGTTTGGGAATAGGGTTTTCTTTGTATGTTAATGAAGCTGTATCAATGCAGCGTGTGTGCTAAGCCTAATCACTTCTGAGTTCTAAGGAGCAGGACAGACACAGAGACAAGGAAGCACAAATGTGGAAGAGAGATGCCAGGTGAAGACTGCCACGGAACCGAGGAACACCGGGCTACAGAAGCTAAAGGAGACAAGGACCTTCCCCTAAGCGAAAACAGACAGAGAGAGCCTTCCCCTAGAGCCAACGCCCTCCATTTGGGCTTGTAACTCCTTAACTATGAGAAAACACATTTCTATCCTTTAAAACCACTATTTGTGGTATTCCTGTTACAGCAGCACTGGCATATAAGACACCACCTTTCCCAACAGCTGTCTATGAAGCTATGTACTTCAGGGATTTTTCTTAGTCATCAGATACACAAGACTATAAGTGGGGACGAGTGACTGAGTCCAGAACAAAGATGTGCCACCGTGAGCCACACAGGGAGGGATTCACCACTGTGGAGATGCCCAACTGCCTACTCGTAAGAGGATCTTCCAACCCTTTTCCTCATTTTCACAAGCCTGGTAACAAAGAGCTGAATGGCACTCCGGGAAGGTGATATGACTCATTCGACACAGCTCTAAGGGCAGAACTTCAGTGAGTGACGGGCAGAGGCCATGCAGAAACAGATTCCAGCTGAGGATAATAAAGAGCCTTCCATGAACCAAGAAGCCCAAGGATGGAAGAGGTATGGGGCTCTGGAACTGGGGTACCCAGTGATGTGCCAAGGAGGGCTTACTACTCAATAGTAATTTAAAAATTAATTATATAACCTACTAAAATTTACCAAAGAAATGTTACAGCATAGAGTGACAAAACACTGTGGATTTAATCATCAAACGAAAAAATAGGAGACTTCAAAGGTATGTTATACATGTAATTCGTTTCAAACGCCACCACCATCCGCCGCTGCAGGAAGTGTGAGATGAACTGAAAAATACTATCCTAAAAGTAGTGAGCTCCCTGTTGGTGAGGGAGTTCAAGAATAGGTGGGATGCCATATAATGGGACATTATTCAGCCATAATAAGGAAGGGCATACTGATACATCATCATTAGTCATTACGGAGATGCAAATCAAAACCACAGTTAGATACCACTTCACACCCACTAGAATGGCTATAATCAAAAAGATGGACAATCAAAATTATTGGTGAGGATGGGGAGAAATTGGAGTCCTCCACTATTGCTCATGGGAATGTAAAATGCAGTTGCTTTGGAAAACAGTTTGGAAGTCCTCAAAAAGCTAACCCAGAACTAAAACCATTCCCAAAGCCCACTCTTCAGACCAAGATTAGACTGGACTATAAAACATAAAATAATACTCATGAAGAGTATACTTCTTAGGTCAAGCAGATATACGAGACCAAACGGGCGGCTCCTGTCCAGAGGCAGGATGAGAAGGCAGGAAGGGCCAGGAGCTGGTTGGATGGACACGGGAAACCCAGGGTGAAAAGGGGGAGTGTGCTGTCACATTATAGGGACTGCACCTAATGTCACATAACAATATGTGTATAAATTTTCGTATGAGAAATTAACTTGAGCTGTAAACTTTCACCTAAAGCACAATAAATAAATAAAAAGTTAAGTAAAGGGTTACCACGTGACTAGCAATTCCACTCCTAGGGTCATACCCATGAGAGCTGAAAACATATGTCCACACAGAAAATTGTACTCCAACACTCACGGCAGCATTATTCATAATAGCCAAAGAGTAGAAACAACCCAAATATTCATCCACTGATGGGTGGATAAACAAAATGTGGAACTTTCATACCACGGAATATTGTTGGGGCATAAAAAGGAATGAAGCTCCGATACGTGCTACAACTTGAAAACATTATGCTACATCAAAGAAGCCAGCCATGAAAGGCCACATACCGCATCATGCTATTCCTAGGGTCCGAAAAGGTAAACCAACAGAGACGGAGAGGAGGTTAGCAGCGGCAAGGGGCTGGGAGGATGGGGGGTGGGGAATGCCTGTTAAAGGGCACGGGGTTTCATTTGGGGTGATGAACATGTTCAGAAATTAGACAGTGGTGATGGTAGCACAACTCTACGAATCTACTAAAAAACACTGAGTTGAATTGGTGTATGTTTTGCTATGTATATTTTCAACAATAAGAAAATAAATTAAATATAGAGATGTAGATATCTATGCATATACATATGAAAAAAAAAGCCACTGAATTCTGTGCAGTTTAAAAAGGTGAATTTTATGGTACATGAATTATGTCTCAATGAAACTGTTATATAACAAAAAAAGAAAACATAGGCGTGGACACCTAGCATGGATGCCAAAGATGATAAGGTCAGATGTCTGGTCCAGATTCCTCCAGGACTGCTCAGCCTGAGCACAGCATCCAAAGGGACTTCCAGTCCCCACAGTGGGTCCCAAACCGTACAGCCTTTAGTCTGCAGAGCCCAACCACAGGAACCTGCTCCCAAACCAGTGCCGGCCATGCTGCTCCTTCCTCTGTGCTGGGGACCCTCTAACACTACCAAGCCCAGGACGGGGGATGTCCCCCTGCACCCAGTAGGAGAGCCAAGACCCATGGAAGCATAAAATCCTCATTCTATTCCGCTGTGCTCGTGGGAATGTAAAATGCAGTTGCTTTGGAAAACAGTTTGGAAGTCCTCAAAAAGCTAACCCAGAACTAAAACCATTCCTGAAGCCCACTCAACTATGGATGTCATCCCAGGCAATGTCACAGGCAAACAGGAAGGGAATAAAATCATCCGGACAAGAGGCATCTGGTCTGGACATGGAGGGCTCCCTCGCCTCGGTAATTATTCGGACCTGCACCACCTCATTTCTTTTGCATCATTTTCCATCATTCTCAGATTATAAAATCTTTCCAAGGTCAAAACTTCATGCCATCTGCTAACAGCCTAGTGCTCCTGCCAACAGGCCACCAGGTGCCAAGCCCTGGCTGGACACAGTGCATGCAAAGTCCCTGACGCAGGCCTGGCCCTCCCACCAAGACAAACGGCATGGTCAGTAGCACAGACACGCAACCGCAGAGAGCTGGAAACGTGTTGGTTTGGCCATAGAGCCCCCATGGCGCAGGGACATATCCACCCAGGAGAAGACCCCTGACACGAAAGGCCTCTTTGCCATCTCATCCTTCCTCCAAGACCACCATTGGAAGACCAAATTCACCACTGTCCTTCTCAATCTTAGTGGGAAACTGTACCTTTTATTAAACATGCAAATACCTTTCACAATCTATCAAGCAATGCTATCTCACTACTACAAGTTATAAATATACATAAAGAGGGGCTTCGAATGAATGGAATGAACTAACAGCCCACATACTATCACATCCTTAAACAGAGTAGAAGAAGCTGCCTGCAGGCTAGGACCTCTCTAGTCCTGGCTGGCCGTTAGCAGCCCATTCGGCCTTGGGCAAGTCAATCCACCCCTCTAGCATACGTGGTGTGCAGGATACACTGGTGAATGGGAAGAATAAAAGTCAGGTCAGTGGTAGAATTCCCACCTTCCACGTGGGAGACCAGGGTTCAATCCCTGGCCGATGCACCTCATACACAGCCACCACCCATCTATCAGCGGAGGCTTGAATGTCACTATGACACTGAACAGGTCTCACTAGAGCTTCCAGACTAAGAAGGACTAGAAAGGAAGGTCTGGCGATCCACTTCTGAAAATCCACCAATGAAAACCCTGTGGAACACAATGGTCTGATCTGTGACTGATCTTGAGGATGGCACAGGACCAAGCAGCATTTCATCCCATCATGCATGGAACCATTGTAAGTTGGGGTCAACTGGCTGGCACCTAACAACAAGAACAAACTAGGTAAGGTGTGGACAGATCATCCAGGCCTGAGGGATCCCAGTGTGGACAGGAAGCAAAGGGAGAGATGTGGAAACCATTACCAAGGATGAACAACAGTGCCTGATAATGTATTATCTAAGGGGAGTGGAGGAGAAAGACGGACAAGATAACTCTAGACTTTTCCTGGTAAGTGTTATACAGGTCAACAGAAATACCGTGCATTCCTGACATCATACAGGAACTTAAGAATCAAAGAGAACAAAATTCCATTAACTGTGTGTCTTCTAAAGTATGTTCCTTTATTCACCAGTTTCCATCTGAAGTAGGGAATTTATAGAACCCAGAGAAGTTTAAAATGCAATTAACATCGTCCAAGCCACTGGAAGAAGACAAAGACCTGAAAAGATGATTAAAATTTTAAGATGAGCGAGGATATAGTCGAAAGGTTATATAATGAATTTAGGAAAGTGGTGCAACTAAATTAATTTATACCAAAGTGAATCACATTGCTGGTTAATTAAGGCCATTTCAAGTAATTAATTTTTACAGAGATAAGACAGTCTCCTCTGCAAGCACCACTCTGGAAGGGTGAAGAACAGGGGCAACCGAGGGGCAGACTCGGTTATAAAGACCACGCTTAGGAAACACCACGTTAGTGACCAGCTCATCCCCCGCTGGCCACCTGAAGCCGAAACTGCATGTCCTTTACAAGGAAAAGTCATTTCAGCAAATTAAATGACATACGAGAGGCAAGAAGTGCCTGCTGCTGACATCAGAACCACAAACAGAACAGAATGAAGAATTAAAGAATCTGAGTGCTCAGAAGACTATCCGATCACCCCAGTCTGGCACTGTAGCTTATAGATAAAGATACGGGGCCACAGGAAACGAGCACCTAGCATCTCTCCAGAAATGAGTCCAGGATCGCATGGCCAGAAAACGGGCAAGACAAGACTCCCAGCCCTGTGATCATTCTACCATACCACACGTCTCTGCAAGTCACTTATACAGGCTCCCCACTAGCAGTGTGCCAGGAACAGTGATAATGCCGACGGCAATGAAACAGAACACGCGCTGAGCGCCTCCAGGTGCCAGACACGGGCTACCGTATTTCACTTAACCCTCATAACCACCCTAAGAAGGAGGCGCTGTTAGTATCTCCATTTTACAGGTGAGGAGAGTGAGGCTTCAGGGGGTTAGTTAACGCCTGTCAGACCCACAGCTAGGACCCTTTGGAAGAGGGACAAGAACTCAAAAGGGGGTTGATGGCAAAGCCTCCACAGCTAAACTAGATGGCCATTCCACAACCAGAATACAAGGAGCGTCCCTTCCACTCAGAAGGGTGCATCTTAAATACCTTAAAGAAACTATTTGTTAAAGATTGTAGCCAGAATCCTATACTACCTTTGGAAGCAGTGCCTCTATCTGTTAATTCACGCAGAGGAAGAAAAAGAAGAAAACACGGCCCTCTGGGGTGCACTACCTTAACCACTTCGCCGCCATCAACCTTCATCAGCTGCCTCAGGTTCTGCTGCAGCAGGTTGGTGTTAGAACGCCACTTCAAGAGCCCCAGAAGGTCCACTGAAAACAGAAGAAGAACGTCAGTCCCGCACAGCCAACTTTGTCTCTCTTGCTCATGCATCCTGTGTACTTCTTTCTGTGATTTTTGAACAACAACAACAAAATAATCAATCCGATTTCGAAAGTCTCGTCATCTAAATATTTCACTACTTTGCAGCAACATCCCTAAAACCTAGGGTGGTGGAATTCCTTCTCTCCAACTACATTTACCATGGAATGATTTCCATGCAGGAGCTTTAAAGATGCGTTCAGGAACCTGTAAAAAGGACGGGCCTTTCTAGTCAGACAAAGAGGCAGGAAAGAAGGCTGCTCCTGCACAAAGTGCTGCTGGCTTTTCCCGAGTTGTATTTTCCAGTTTGAGAACAAGTCTCTATTTTAAAAAATATGATTAAATGGTATACAATAAAATAAATGCAAACCCACTGCTATCGAGTCGATTCTGACTCACAAGGACCCTACAGGACAGACTAGAACTGCCCCATAGGGTTTCCAAGGCTGTAAACCTTTACGGAAGCAGACTGCCACATCTTTCTCCCAGAGAGCAGCTGGTAGGTTCGAACCGCCAACCTTTTGGTTTAGCAGCCAAGTGCTTAACCACTGTGCCACCAGGGCTCCTGTAAAATAATTAACAAAACTTCAAGTATTGGAACTGCAAGGGGAGTGGCTGCAAGGGGGCAGTCCTTGCACCTCCAGTGGCCCTGGACAGCTCAGACCACTCCCGCTGGGAGCTCCATATTGTCTGTGCTTCTCATGGTTCTGTTTTTGTGTGTTTGTTTGCTTGTTTTTTATTTGAAAAATCGGGCACTGAATGTACAGGTTTTTAAAGGCTGAAGGTGAAAGAGAATGTCCAGAAATGACTTTGTTGAAGGCAGCAAGATGTTCTTTAAGGCAGGAATATGGAATTTAAATCACCTCTGGGAAAGAACAGATGCCTACACAATTTTCACTTTAACTTATATTAATATTCCATTACTTGAAAAAATACAATGAGCAAAGTATATTTACTGTTTATGCTCATCAGGAACGAACTTCAGCTACAGGAACTGTCTCTGCAAGAAAAATCCTAGCTAATATCGAAAAGAAAAATATCATTTTGGCAATAGGTAGAATTTCAGTGAATACAGGATGCCCATTATAACTTAAAGATCAAACTACACAAAAGCGGATATATAATGAACACCGAAACAGACATTTTCATGTATTTGACCTTGTGACCTTGCCCTGCAAATAGTGCTAAGAAAAAGAATTAAAAAAGAAAAGGGAGGCCAAATAGTAGGGTACCGTGGATGTGTGAAAATACAGACTATAGAGTCAGACAACCTGGCTTAAATACCAGCTGGGCCACGCAGTAACGATACGACCTTGGGCAAGTAATCTACCTCAGTTTTTCCATCTGAAAAATGGCGACGAAGATGCCTACTTCACAGAGCTGGTGTAAGAATTAAATGACATGAGGTTTGGAAGGCACTGAGCACAACATCCAGGTCATAGTAGTAACAGTAGCAGTAATTCAAAGAGATGACTGGAACTGAGAAATGTAAACTTTATTCACAGAAGGTAACATATTTCAATGTTTAATCAAAAGGTGAAGCAAATGAAAAGGCTGTGAGGTGCCCAGGCTAATGGTGACTTCCATCTCAGGAGAGTTATCAGAGACTAATTAAAAACGGGGATCCTATTCATTCAAAATTGGTGGCACTTTGGATAATGATGGAGGCTGAAGTTTGCAATCAGCTGCTAACCTAAAGGTAGGTGGTTGAAACCCACCCAGCAGCTCCATCTAAGAAAGGCCTGGTGATCTGCTTCCATAAAGATTAAAACCAAAAAAACCAAACCCACTGAGTCCATTCTGACTCATAGTGACACTACAGGACAGAGTACAACTGCCCCATAGGGTTTCCAAGGAGCAGCTGTGGATTCGAACAGCCAACCTTTTGGTTGTCAGCAGTGGAACTCTTAACCACTGCACCACCAGAGCTCTGTAGCACATGGGGTCACCATGAGTTGGAGACTTAACTCACTAGCAATGGTCTTCCTTTTTTTTTTTTTTTTTTAAGATTTACCTCTGTATTGTAAATACGAGGAAAGGTAAATTAGTAAGGAGAAGGCACATTAATAGGAGCAAAAGCCCTTTGAGGAAGGGGAGCCTGTAAGAAAATGGGGCTTGCCAAGCCTTCCTCACAACGACCCAAGTCAGCCCGGGCGCCCCCTCCCCATGCCCTCGTTTCCCGTGAGTCACCAAAGTTTAACCCATAATTATTCTTTTAGAACCCCTCTCGCACTAATTATGTAGTAAGCTAATTGAGGAGAGGACTCACATCCTATAGGTCTTTTTATATCCCCGACAGCATCCAGCATAGTGCTGAGAACAGAGACACTTAATACAAACCTTGATGAATAATTCAGCCACTGCTTATCCCTAATGGAACTTTGCAGTCATAAATCAGAGTTTCAGAAAAATGATTCTCAAATGGGAATCTGGGACATGATGCTCACTTAGATGCCAATCGGGGCAGCTCTGTCTTGCACACGCTTGACACACCCCCATACTGACAAAAGGAATAGCTGGCTGGAGGGGAAATGAAAGCCCCGAGATTCCCTTCACTCCTGGGGAACAGCATCAAGCCTGGGGATTTCCTCGTTGCCTAGCAACAGATGCTGTAGAGACCAAGGCAATGAGACCAAGGGTTCCAGGGAGGGAATCACCTGACGACTGGTGAGATTCAGGGAGGCTGGAAATGAGAGGCAGATCAGCACCACCCTCGGGGACAGCTCCTGGCCCAGCCCCTCTACTCTGCTGACAGGTGCACTAAGATTTTGTAGATGGGCCCCAGAAGCAAACTAATCTTCGGGACATTGTCTTGTTTTGTCCCTGTACTGAGTACCTTTTTTTTTTTTTTTTAAATTGTGGTAAAAACATATATAACAAAACTTTTGTCAATTCAACAATTTTTACATGTACAATTCAGTGACAATGATTATATTTATCATGCTATACAACCGTCATCGCTATCCTTCTACAAACTGTCCCACCACCATTGCTCAGTGCCTCCTAACAGCGACTCCACCGTCCTCCTTCCTCCCAGCCCAGGTAATCGCTAACAAGCTTTGGTCTCTATACACTGCCTATTTCCTGTCAGTGGGATCACAGGATATCTGCCTTATTTCACTCAGCATGTTTTAAGGTTCGTCCGTGTCATAGCATCTATCAGGACTTCATTTCTCTTTACGGCTGAGTACAATACTCCACGGAGTACAGACCACATTCTGTTTATCCATCATCCACTGATGGACGTTTGGGTTGTTTCTACCTCTTGGCTATTGTAAATAATGCTGCAATGAATACTGGTGTACACATACCTGTTTGCTTTCTCGCTTTCAATTCCTTTGGGTATGTGTGTTCCTAGGAATGGGATTGCTTGGTGGCACGGCAGTTTCACATTTACCTTTTTGAGGAGCTGCCAAACTATTTAGGATATTGCTTTTGAAAAGGAAGGTATGTTTAGGTTCCAAAGAACACCTCCCAGATATGCTTTTGTAGCATGGGCCATGTCTAAAATGGTGGCTGCCTTCCCTGTGAACATGGCTATACACATCAGCTCTACTGAACAGTGAATGTGCCACATACGTGGGTGGTCACACCCCTGCAGAGGTCACCCTTCCCCGGATCAGAGGAGGCCTGGATGCTGGAGCCTCTCAGCCTGGTGGGACTGTCAGGGACACATCCAGAGAGCAGCGCTGGCATACGGGGCCTCCTCTCCATGACCCGTTCCCACAGTGGTGCCTGGTGCTCCACACACAAGCTCCCTGGGGACTCTCTACCCCTCCACACGCTGCAGGGAGCCCGGCCCCAGTTAACAGATTCACCTGCTCATGGAGATTCGAGAACAACTACCAGCTTTGACACTTCATAAAGGCTGCAGACGAAACACAAGGAAGGCATCACTAGAGAAAAGTATCCAAACCAGTCGCCATCAAGTCAACTCCAACTCATGACTGTGCTCCATAGGGTTTTCTTTTTTTTTTAATTGTTGTACTTTAAGTCAAAGTTTACAATACAAGTTAGTCTAACATACAAAAATTTATACATACTTTGTTATGTGACCCTAATTGCTCTCCCTATACTGTGACAGCACACTCCTCCTTTCCATCCCCGATTTCCCATGTCCATTCAACCAGCTCCTGACCTCTCTGCCTTCTCATCTCACCTCCTTCAGAAGCTGCCCATTTACTCTCATGTATCTACTTGAGCTAAGAAGCACACTCTTCATGAGTATCATTTTGCATCTTATAGTCCAGTCTAATCTTTGTCTGAAAGAGTTGGCTTAGGGAATGGTTTTAGTTTTAGGCTAACAGAGTTTGGGGGCCACGTATTCTGGGGTCCCTACAGTCTCAGTCAAACCATTAAGTCTGGTCTTTTTACTGGAATTTGAGTTCTGCACCCCACTTTTCTCCTGCTCCGTCAGGGACTCTCTGTTGTGTTCCCTGTCAGGGTGGTTATTGGTGGTAGCGAGGCACCATCTAGTTCTTCTGGTCTCAGGTTGATGGAGTCTCTTGTTTATGTGGCCCTTTCTGTCTCTTGGGCTAATACTTTCCTCCATAAGGTTTTCAATGGCTGATTTGTCAGAAGTAGATCAGCAGGCCTTTCTTCCAAGGTACTTCTGGGTAGACTCGAACTTCCAACCTATTGGTTAGCAGCGAGTGCATTAGCTGTTTGCACCACCCAGGGACTCCAGAGAAATGTACCACATGGCCTGAAAGCGTGTGAGAGACTTCCTCCCCACACACCAAACACTTCACCCGTGATGCAGTGATGGACACGCGTAGCCTGCGTAGCCCCGTGCGACCAAGCACAGCGAGCGTCCAGGAAAGTTCTACGAGCTTTCCAAACACTCAAGACTCGCATCCAGCTCAATCCACGTCCCACTCCGATTCTGTGACTGGCAACGATGGGCTCCCTTCTGCCTCTGTTTAGACGGTTAAAGTCCAAATGATGACTGTTGCTAGGGCAAATGCAAAATGACCGCCATGATTTACGGACAACCCCCAGGGCACACTTCATGAGAGCTGCAGCCATTAATAATCAAAACCCTATCAGGCAGTTAAGGGGGAAAAACTGGGATTTTGAGCTGAGTTTCAAGAGAGCATAAAATCTGTGTGCACAGCCGTGCTGCCGCCCCATCCGGGGCTTCAAATTTTAAACATGGGATTTGTGCAGAAGGGTGAGGGCAGGAGGAAGGCGCTTCACACAAGAAGTACCCCTGGAGGACAGGGTGTCACTGGGCAGGCTGGGAGCAGTGGGAAAGGTGCTTGGAGCAGGTGGCCAACCCAGCACGGGGACATGGTGACAGGCAGGTGAGTAATTCGATGCTTTAAGGCTGCTCTGTGGTGTGTGTGATTCAAGGTACCTTATCTCACCATGATGGGGACTAGAACATGCCATTAAAATCAACATTTTAAAACAAAGGTAACAGGTCATTATCTCGGTGTGTGCGGGGGAGAGGGAGCAACACAGAGAAGGTGGGTGCCTCTCATCCTGTAACAAAAAAACTTCGCTGCTGTCGAGCTGACGCTGACTCACAGCAACGCTGCAGGGCAGAGCAGAACTGCCCCTTAGGGTTTCCTAGCCTGGAATCTGCAGGAGAAACCCTGGTGGCCCAGCGGTTAAGCCCTTGGCTGCTAATCAAAAAGTCGGCGCTTTGAACCCACCAGCCACTCCAAGGCAGAAAGATGTGGCAGTCAGCTTCCATAAAGATTTACAGCTTTGGAAACTCTATGGGGTAGTTCTACTCTGTCCTATAGGGTTGCTATGAGTTGACATCTACTCAACGGCACTGGGTTTGGTTGGGTTTGGAATCTTCATGGAAGCAGACTGCCACACCTTTCGCCAATGGAGCAGCTGGTGGGTTTGAGTCACCGACCTTTCAGTTAGCAGCTGAGTGCTTAATCACTGCACCACCAGGGCTCATTTAATAGTGCACTTAAACTCACCAATACCCTTCGCAGTGGGCATAACCAGTTGTTGATGAGCTGACTCTGACTCACAGCAACTTCGTGACTGTTAGAGTAGAACTGTGCTCCAGAGGGTTTTCAATGGTTGATTTTTCAAAAGTAGATCACCAGGGCTTTCTTCCAAAAAGCATCCAGGTGGACTTGAACCTCCAACCTTTCCGTGAGCAGCCGCACGTGTTACCCATTTGCACTACCCAGAACTCCCATATCCGTAGACAAGGAAGAGAAGGTTCAGAGAGGTGAAGTCCCTAGTTCCAGGTCATTCCCAGGGGCATCATAAGGGAAGGGTTCAACCCCAGGTCTTTGGATTGACCCTAAATCTCATACTTTTACCTTGATGCAATACAAGCTTCTTTGTTCAAAAAGCTCTTTTGAAAGTAAATCCATTTCTTTATTTCTGTTTAACTTTAATCCTCAGACAAAAATAGAAGTGTGAATTTTATAGTAAGCAGGATTAACACTCCCTCCTTCCACTCTGTACCCACACTGGCTGCTTCCTAGAGATACCATGGGGTGATCATCTCCCATCCCACACTCACCGTTCTGAGTGAGCTTCGTGGAGCACACCAGGGTTGAAATCTGGAAGGAATCTTTGCTGATGGTACAGCTTCCGAGGCTCTGCATGCCCTTGCCCGTGGCTGAGTGCCCCTTCTCCTCTAACTCGGCTTTGGTGGAGGGCAGACTCAAGTACGTCGAGGCGTCTTCCAGCTTTTTTGCTTCAGCCTGTGGGTTTTGTTACACATTATGTCAAACATGACTTAAAACCAGCAATACATACTTCGTCCCACCCTTTGTTATCCTTAATCTTTTTAACTATCACAGTGTTTGTTCTTGTAGTGTGCTAAACTGTTTATTTCAGTAATTTCCTTTGTTCCTATAGCTTAACTCATGTTCATAGAGTATTATTACAGGGCACTTACGTGTCATTTTATGTCATCATTTCGTTAGGAGCAGCACAGGGGCTGGTCATCAGAAGCATTCATTTATAGAATTTAGTGTGGCTAGGTAGCAGCTGTAGGAGCCCTGTGGTGCAGTGGTTAAGCACTCGGCTGCTAACCGAAAGGTCAGTAGTTTGAACCCACAGGAGAAAGATGTGGCAGTCTGCTTCTGTAAAGATGACAGCCTTGGAAACCCTACAGGGCAGTTCTACTCTGTCCTACAGGGTCACTATAAGTCCGAATCAACTCAACAGCAATTGATTTGGTTTTCTGGCTTTTTGTTTTGTTTTTCGTTTTTTTTAGGTAGCAGCTTCCTCAAAAAGGCGGGAAATGTCAGCTCAGGTCAGGGTGCCCAGAATGGGCTAAATGGTCAATAGTCAGCACTACGGCACCAATAAGACGTATACCTTATAGACGATAAGATCGTGCTCCCCGTCCCTCAGGGTGGTCCCATCATATCGCATCAGCTTCACAAACGCAAGAGCAAATATTTTCTCAGATTTGTCCTTAGCTGCAATAAAAATCAACAACCACCTTTGACTGCCGCCATGACAAAATAACCTTACCGAAGGCCACCTTTATTAAAAAAATTACAAAACTTACTGACAGATGCTTAAAAAAAAACTGAATAAATGGACAGTGATCACCAGGAGGAAGACTCAGCTCCTAAAGGATTGGCTCTCTCCAAATTCATCTATAAATTCAATGTAATTCCAACCAAAATCTCAACAAGGATTTTTCATGGAACTTGAAAAGCTGATTCTAGAGCAAGGGGTCAAGAACAGGATGATTTTAAACAAGAATATGTATATATAAAGAAATATATATATATATACACATATACGTATATATGAAGGTTCACCCTTCAGCCAAAGATTAGACAGGCCCATAAAACAAAACAAGACTAAATGGACACACCAGCTCAGGGTCAAGGACAAGAAGGCAGGTGGGGACAGGAAACCTGGTAACGGGAAACCCAAGGTCGAGAAGGGGAGACGGTGGACATGTCCTGGGATTGGCAACCAATGTCACATAACAATATGTGTATTAATTGTTTAATGAGAAACTAATTTGCTTTGTAAACCTTTATTTAAAGTACAATTTTTTTTAAAAAAACGAAGAATATGTAGATACAACGACAAAAAAGAAAAAAGAGTAGCTGCTAAGGCTGATTATGTACAACCAAAAACCTCATAGGATTTGGTTCCTTGGTTTGGAGGTTTAGCATCATGGTTTCATGGGACGTCCCAGTTAACTGGCCTAATAACATGTGTGGTGCCTCTGTTCTACCTCCTAGTGTGTTGCGTAGTGCCTAGGGACTTAAAAACATGCAAGCGGCCATCCAAGGCACAACAGTTGGTCTGTACGGGCCTGGAGCAACAGAGGAAGAAGGAGAGTCAAGAATAGGTGGAGGATACGGAATGTGTGGCTAATTGCCTCCGTGAGCGACCGCCTCCTTTGCCATGAGACCAAAAGAACTGGATGGTGCCCAGCTATCATTATGGAACATTTTGATCAAAGATTCCATAGAAGAATCCTGATCAAGACAAGGAAAACACAGAACAGAATTTCAAATTCTCATGGACTCCAGACCTCCTCGAGCCATGAAAATTGGGTGAATCCCTGAAACTGTTGTCCTGAGACAATCTTTAAACCTTAAACCAAAAATATCCCCTGAAGTCTACCTATATGGGATCCAAGTGACAACAACTCAAAGGATTGGTCAGGAACCTTAAAGGGCAGTGAGTTTATGCTAATGGGAGAGGAACAACTCAGAAAAGGAGGGTGAGAACGGTTAAACTAGCAGAATGTAATCAATGCCACTACATGGTGCGTGCAGAAACTGCTAAATTGTTGTACGTTTTGCTGTGTTTATTCTCAACTACAACAACAAAATAAATGGAATTATATAAAAATAAATAAACAAGTAATAATATACATTGGCATAGCATGAATGCCAATTAGCCTGTTGCCACTGAGGCCATTACAACTCATAGTGACCCCACAGAACAGGGTACTACTGCCTCACAGGATTTCCTAGGTTGTAATCTTTATGGAAGCAGACTGCCACATCTTTCTCCCACGGAATGCCAATTAAGTAGTATATAAATAAAAGTGATTAAATTCCAATTTTAAAATCTAAGAAAAAGAATATGTAGGGAAGCCCACAATGCTAGAAACCAAGAGTAACTATTAAGTAATAATAGAGAAGGTGGGGTGGCATGTTAGCATAGAGATGCCAGACTAGTAGGAACCAACAGGGCCTGGAACACAGGCCATGTAAATGGCAGAGGGTCATGTAATCAGCAGAGAGGAACAGACCACTCCACTAAGAAAGCTGGTTCCTACCTCACACCATACGCTAATGTAAATTACAGCACACTAAAGACCTCAATGTGAAATTTTGTTCCCTTTGTCGTTCTGAACTCTATTCGAATACCAGCTCCTCAGACATGACCACTACATCTAAAACGATGAATGAGTAACCCAGTCATACTCTTTCTCCTTGCCTGATTTATTTTTCTTCATAGTCCTTATTATTACCAGACTACCAGATCTAGGTGCATGTGTGCGTGCGTGTGTGTGTGTGGTAAATTTGTTGTTGTTTATTGTTGTTTTGTCCACTAGACCCTGGGGTGTAAGGGACTTTGTGTATTTTCTCACTACTACTTCCAATCAACAACAAAAAAGAAAGGAAGGAATACAGGAAAAAAGGTGTCATCCTAGGAATCTAAAAAATAACTTGGTAAAAGGGCACATAAGTCACAGGAAACATAAGCCAACTTCATGCTCAAATGAGAAAGAACAGATCCTCCTAAGCTTGGGCTGGTTGGAAAAGTAAAAGCCTGCCTCCCTGCAAGCAGCCGTGGCTCAGAAGGACAGGTGACCTGACTGTCAGCAGCAGGCGCCCGCTGACCCTCCTATTAGGTAGCACAAGGTGAGTGCAGCTTTCTTTAGGGTTCCACATCTGCACCTCAAAGGGGGAGGCTGCTTTTTATCACATGCTCACTAGCAGCCATTACCAGGTAGACCGCTTCTATTACAACAAACTCAGGGAACCTTACAGGACGGCTCTGGACAGCAGGCAGGGTGGCCCGTTCCCTAGACCCCCACCCATCCATCCTGGACTCCACCCATCTGAGCCCGGCACAGACAAGTGTCACTTGGCTCTTAGCAAGCAGAACCCAGAAGTCAAAATTTGCTCGTGTCCATGTAAATGCCTCTGGAATTGCTAACAAGTTGCTGGAGAGGTCTTAGTGTCTTAGCTTCCTAGTGCTGCTGTAACAGAAATACCACAAGTGGGTGGCTTTAAAGAACAGACATTTACTTTCTCATAGTTCAGATGGCTGGAAGTCCACCTTCAGGGCACTGGCTCTAGGGGTGGGGGAGAAGGTCCTTGTCTCTTTCGTCTTCTGTAGGCACGGGGACTGCAGCCCCAGCTTTCTTCTGTTCCTGGGAGATTCTCACATGGCATCTACCCCCCCTCCTCCCACCCTACCTCACCATTTGTGCTTGCTTTTTGTCTGTGCAACTCAGAAGTGATTAAATTTAGAATATCCCCTACACTGATATGGCCTCAGAAACACAACAAAGAAAACCCGTATGTGTTGGAATACTAACACATATACCTGTGGATTACATCAGACTCAATGTCAGCTCCCAAATTCTCCTCTCGCAGCCATTGCACCACTGTGTGCCCGGAACACAGACCTAGCCACTCCCATCACCTTGCAACCTAGAGCATCCCAGTTCTGCAGGTCTTCCAGATTAAACTCTTCTTCTAGTTGGCCATGAACTGTGACCACGTTCCCTCCCTCTTAGCCTGTCGGAAGACCTTCCAGTCTCTGGTCTCACAGGACAAAACGTCCAGCTCCCTCTGGCTCTTCCTAGCTTTCCTACCAAAGAACCTGTTGTTGAGTGACAGTTTGCCCACTGGACTCTGCCAAGTGAGTGGCAGGCATCTTGGTCTTCCACACCACCCCAGGAGGGAGGTCCTGTGGTCATTGTGTGAAGATGCGGACACTGAGGTTCATGCTTAAGTGTCTGAATAAGCACACAGAGCAGGGGACCTACAGGGCGGCCTCTGGAGCCAGGTCTGGTCCCCGACCCTGTCCACATGCTGTCAGTGACTAACACACCACACAGACCACCACTTCCCCTCGATCACCTACAGCACACATATCTGTAGCCAACTGTCATTGTCACTTATGTCCCCAAATATGAGTCCACTGTCAAATGGATACAAGCCACAAAGGGCAGGGGCTGCGTCCTACTTTTGTAATATTTATTTAGTGCCCAGCACAAGGCTACATCCTCCACAGACAATTCAACAAATGGGATGGGACAAACATCAGTAATCAATAATAAAGTATTCTGGAAGGTGAGTGATTAAATTGCCAGTTCTTTACTCCTAAAGTCTTGGCATCATCTACCCTGAGAGAAGCTGCATCTGAGCTCCAGGTAGGGGCCATCAGAAAAGACAAAATAGTTTGAGCTTTCAATTGCAATACAAAAGGCATTAGAAGCCAATTTCCAAAGTGTATGTGTTCCATCTTGGTGAGTTTTCGATGGATGGAATCGTATTACAAGTCAAAATGGAACAGGGGAACGCAAAAGAAAGACTATGAAGTAGTAGCACCTAGTCAGAGGAATGCAAGAAGAAAGTTAAGATTTCGCAAGATCAACTCAATGCAGAAGACACAACCACCCTTTCTCAGAAAAAGGATCAAGTGGAAAATGAGTTAAAACGTCAAGATCTCATGGTATTAACCAAGTTCTAAATAATCAAGCTCTAGAACAAATCCAGAATAAGTGCAGCCCGATTGGCTTTCCCTTAGCTTTCCCTGGAAGAACAGAGGTGATAATAAGGTGTTCAGTTACTTACAGTCCTGTGATGACCTGTGTCGGAAGGTAAACCGAAGGTGACTGCGGTTGACATCTTCAATGGGAATGGCCACCTGTCGGAATTGAAAAAAGAAAGTTCTGGCTCACTTACCAACATCTTCTAGCATGAACACTTCATTCAACCAGAGACACAGGGCACAATTACACAAATGTCCACGCTGCCATGGTGGAAGTAACCAAAGAAAGCCGTTGGAATTGAGTCAATTCCAACTCCTAGTGAGAACATTGTATACATAATCCCCAATATGATTTTTCCAAAGGCAAGATACCTGTTTAAAGTTTAAGCAAGACAACACCGTAAAGGATGCCAAGTCAACACTGCAAGACAGCCGAGTTTTTTTTAAACGGCTCTGATCCTCACTGTTCAAGTTCTATTTTTAAAAGTTGCCATTTTTGTTTTCTCAGTCCCAGCATCGAGGTACCCATGTTCCCTCTGCAGCTGCAATGGCCCGCCTGCAGCTGTGGCAAGAAAGCTTGCTTGTTGTGACATTCCAGGGCAAGAAAAAGGACTGAATGCATGCTGCCCGCAAGCAAATATTGTCCCTATCCTCACATCCAACATCTGTATTCCAGAGCCAACCTCTAGCCTGGTTTTCAAATATTCGAGCCTTTGGCTTGGGCTGGCATTGGCCACAGTGGAGCTATCGTGGTCACGGGGGGGTGCTGCCTTATGAGAAGCAGCTGGTCGACCTCACGGGAACAGGCCCCTTGTCTCCCCAGCAATAACCTCCATATACTGTCATCTCTATTTTTTTCCACTTGGTGTAAAGACAGCATGCCGCACATAAAACAGACCGAAGAAGAGAAAGACAATAGCTATCTTGAAAAGACTCTGACATTTGTCTCCATGAAAGTCTTATTTTTATGTCCAAAAGGAGATGAGAGTGAGTGTGTTCCAAGAAATGCGTGCAGGTTCCTTAGCAACCTTGACTGACTTTGTTGTAGGAGCTGACTCTGCCCCCTTCCAGCACCCTTCAGACAGCAGCCTGGGAGCCGGGTCGGGATGGGAGGGATTTCCTTAGGATACAAATGAGTATTTCATAATCCCCTCCATGCGATATAAAATAACATGTAAATAATACCTTAACGGTCTCAAACCAGCGGGGCTGCTTCACTTGGTAGTAAATCACGGATTTGTACTCTGAAATAGCTTCATCACCAGCGCCCGGGAAAATCACATGCTTTAAAAGAAGGCGTAAAGACTTCACATAAGACCTCATGGAACTTGACGTGGCATACCTCTCCCCACCTCCCACCCCCAAGGTATCAACTGGAAGGAGAAGAGAGAGTATTCCAGGAATGCTGATGAACTCCATCCCAAATAGAAGACGCTCCCAGCCAGAAAGGGACAGATCCGTCGGAAGCCGGACCTACAGCCCTCTTCTCACACACTGAAGACCGTGATGTTTGTGATAATACTGTCTTCCACCCTGCGAACCCTCACCCCAACCACTTCAGCTAGGGTGGGCAGGAGCTGCCTGAATCATTCAGCAAGTGGAGAATACGTGGCTGTGGACCAAAAAGGAGGTGGCGGCCTCCGTCCCCTTCCTCCAGTCGTAGAGACTGTCCACCAGCTCCACTGGGAGTCAGTGATGGGGCCCGATAGCAGGGGCAGGACTGCCTGCCTCCAGAGTCACAGGGCCAGCAGTGATGCCTGGACAAGGGCTACCAGAAGGAACGGTGCAAGGCATTGCCCTCACCCATGTGGGCCCAGGAGGCTCAGCCTTCCAGTCCTCCAGCCCGGGTCCAAAATGATACCTGGAGGGACTCAGAGGAGGCCGGGGCCTCTGAGCACTTCCTAGGACCACCAAGTCCTCCAGGGGTGGACCCTGCAGGCTGCCAGGACCACGGAAGCAGCAGGTTTTGGTAATCCACTACCACCCAGCAGAGCATGAGATCAGAGCCAGGGTTCACGGTCAGCTGCCCAACCTAGACCCCAGTGCCAGCTCTCACTAGTCCTGTGACCCAAGCTAGCGGGTGCATTTCTCTAGGCCTTGGTCTCCTCATCTCTTAATGCTGATAATAATGGTGTCTGTACTTCCAGGGCTCTTGTAAGGAATGAATAAAACAATTCAGGCAGAATGTGTGGCACAGTGCCCAGCACAGAGTAAGGCCTGATAAATGTTTATCATCATCATCATCATCATCTTCATTGTTATTATCAAATGAGACCCCGGAAATGCCTGAGATAAAGATAAGCAGCAAGGGTGATGGCTAGACCCTCACGCCTTGGGTTAATGCCTGAAAATGAGACTCCATTAAAGGGCTGGACAGAGAAGGCAGGTGGTCAAAGCCACAGGGACCTCCTGAGTCGGGCCAGACACCAGGACCCAGTGGACACGGGACCTCTAAGGCCAGGGAGAGAAAGGGAAGAAACAGCAGACACTCCTCCCTGGAAGTGGGATTACACAGCCCCATCTATGTCACCTCATATACTGTAGCAGAGCCCAGGCCAACACATAGAAAATAAAACTTGAACAGATTATGGTTTTTAACAACGAATACCTCCAATCGTTTTCCATCTTCATCATAAACAGACACCGTAACCTCTACATTCTTGGCCGTTGTTTTGCTCCCTTTGTCAAAATCTCCTTGAACTAATGTTACGTAGATATCGTTTCGAACATCACCTGTCGGGGGGAGGGGGAATTATACCTTTAAAGTCAATCCACTATCCACAGTGTCTCAGTGAATTTTGCAAAACAGTCTTACATGCTACCTAATCTAGCAGAATATTATAAACACTGTATTAGATGACTATAAAATATTTTCTACAAAATAGTCCCAGCATTTAAAGGCATGACACAAGCAATTCTCATCATCTTCACAAGACCTGCTGAGAAGGGGAAAATTTCCAGGCCCCTTGTGTTGTGTGTCGTTTTTATCTGGGCAGAGGACATGCCACACTTCTGTGAGCAGCTGGTGCCCAGGGTGGCTGGAATGTGGTGACAGGCTTGCCATGATCTAGAGTCCACAGCCCATGACAACCAACACTGCAATCCATCTTAGACGCTGGCTGTGGTCATTGGAGTCCCAGGACCCAAGGACTATGGCAACATCCACTGGCACAACCAAGATGACAACCGGCAAAACTGGCCTCCCTTGCATGGCCTTCTTCTAAAGAGCGTGACTCCAGGACTTGAACTAAAAGTTGGTTAAAAATTAGAACGACAAGCCGATGCCTCGAGCTGATGTCTAGGATCGGGGAGCAGGGATCATGGGTCAAGAGAAAAACCTTCCTCAGTGATCTTCTGTCCTCCTAAGCAGGAAGCTGTCAGGATCCCAAACAGCAACCAGAGCAAGCAGAAGAAGAACAAACCAGACTTGTGCATGCCAAGTGAGGTGGGCCTTTAATTGTACGAAAACAACAGCAAAGGAGCCCCAGACTCTTCTCCCCACTGAGAACATATGAAGCCCACGTTAATGGCCCCACTGGGAAATTCCAGCAAGCTGCATTAGCAGCATGACAGAGAGGAAGCATCACCATCTAGCCACGGCTCCTCTGCTGCCAGCTCAGGCCACCGCCCACCTTGACCATCTAGAGCATCTCAGGGGACACCTGGCACTGTTCCCACAAACACAGCAAATGGCCCACTCCAGCCAAAGGACAAGGATCCCTGAAGGACAAAATTCCCCTTGCTTTCTTGCTTTTTCTTTTGTGTGTTTTTTTTAAAAGACTACATTCTGGCTTTTAATGTATCTAACTATTAAATTAAGCTTTCATTTAAAAGTCGTTATTACAACACTCCCAGTGGGTGGCTGCTCCTGCCACGGTCACTGCTGAGAAAAGAGCACAGTGCGACTGCCCAGCCGATCCTGGGAGAAATCAAGGATGGCAGAGCACAGGGGTAGGGGGCGGGGCTGCCCGTTCAAGACCTGCCATTAATTAGCTGCATGACCCCGGACAAGACACTTAACCTCCAGGCCGCCCACCACTAAGCAGCCTTATCAATAAGGCGGGGGTAGACGGTATGATCCCTCAGCTGGGAAGTTCGTTCACAGCACAACAACCCTAAATGAAAAAGGCCACAACAGCTTCAAAAAGGCCTCAGCAGCCAGGGAACTAACGAGTCCTGTGGACGTGAACTGAGTCAGCCCCATAGCCTCGCTCTCCTTGCTTTGCCTCATCCAAGCCTCCAGCCACCTTCCCAGCTCAAAGGAAAGCTCCATGTCCCGACCAGGACCCTTGAGGAGGACTTCAGGATCCCCAGTGGCCATGAGAAGGGAGAGAAGAGCAAGAGCAATATGATCAGATCTTCCATTGTCCAAACCAAAAAAATGATTCCGACTCATGGCGACCCTATAGGACAGAGTAGAACTGCCCCATACGGTTTCCAAGTAGCGGCTGGTGTATTCGAACTGTTGACCTTTTGGTTAGCAGACAAACAGTTAACCACTGTGCCACCAGGGCTCCACTGTCTCAAGAAGGTGGATATCGCCCTAAGAAAGCTGACAAGGAACACAGTGCAGGTTCTACTGTGGTTAGAGGCTGGTGTCTGACTCAAAATCACCCCACATCGTCTCTCTCCAAGGTCAGGACACAGTGCTCACTGCCTGGTCAGAGATGAGTTGGCGAGCAGACAACACGGACGATCACTCAAGCTAGAACCCCACACTACGAGACCCCCAGCCCTTAGCGCATGTAACTCACAAAACAACAGTCAGCTCTATGGTTTCCCCAATCATGAGCTAATTTTAGAGGTGTAGACTTACTTTTTAAGTCTACCAGTTATTAGGGGCTTCCTGGGTTCTCCCTTGAACGTGAAGACATCCTAAGGCCACTCAAGATAAATGGACATGGCCGATGACTTCGTCCCAATCTGTAAATTTGCACCTCGAATCCAAATATAAACAACCTTTCACTAATAAGTACAAATTAATTTGCTGTATATAGATTTCACACATGCAAGCAATATACGTTCCATAGTTTTTTCATGCTAAATGTCACAAAAAATAGTAGATTTTTCAGAAGATGCAGGACACTCTTATTCAACCTAGCTAATTTTAGATGTCTTTTGTAACAATTCAACAGCGTATTCAATGACCCCCAGCAGCTCTGGAAGACAAAGAGTGGAAAGAACGCGTCCCTGCGTTGCACTAAAATAAGCAAAAGAATAACTCTTGCAGAACATACGCTGAGTAGCCCCTCCTCTCCTTGCCAGCCGAGCCTCAGAATAGGAGGCCACGTGGCAGTGTCAAAAGTGGGGTGTGTTGGCCCCATTTCCACTGCTCGTTAGCTGTAAGACTTTAGGTGGTGGCTTCATCTTGCTGGAATTAGTTCAACGTCACTTTGTAGGCTTCCAAAATCCTTATGTGGATCAAGGTAGATTATTAACGTGAGCGTTATTTGCAAACCAAAAAGTATTACACGCAGATAAAAAGGACGAATATTAACACGCTTCCCAGGATCTCCTGGGGATCAAGTCAGATTACTAACATGAATGTTATTTGGAAACAGTGAGGTATTACATAATACGGGAGTAATGTGAACACGGAGTCCTGCTATCCGTTTAATACAAGTTAAGTCTGTAATTGAGCCGGGGCAGTACTAGCATGGTAACTAATACTAACCGAGCAGGCACCAAGTCATCAACATTGCCATGCTTCATCCTACCTACCCTTCCAACAACACTACGGTGGCCTTGGTTTTGGGAAGTTCACTTTCTGCTCCTCCTTCCTTCCTCTCAGTTGGACATCTGTCTGTCCAGACGTCTCGGTCTGTCCGTGCTCCCTCTCACCACCCCTGCAGTGGAGGGAGTGACCTCATCTGGAGCTCCAGGTGGCCAATGAGGGCACTGCTGCTCCAAGGGGCTGGTAAGTAGCAGAGGTGAGGCTCAAGGAGGGCTGCTGAGTCCAGAGCCTGCATCCTGACCTCTGGGGTCAAAGGATGGGGTTCAAGGTCATGGACCACTGCTGTGAAGAGACACTGACCCTCCAGCCGACCTGGAGGCCACTTCAGAATAGAGTTTGTTGACCTAAGTGCCCCCTCCACTCTGAACCGGTTCTGCATGATTCAAATGCTGTTCTGCGAACACAAGAGTAGCCCAGGGGCATGGTTTTGAGCCTACACTATCACTTAAAGGAGACGGCCAAGTCCTGGAGGCCTGTAGTCAACCTACCATCACAAGCGACCCTTCTTCAGAGCTCAAGAGCAGACGCTGCAAAGCTGCAGCCTGTCATGTCAGACTCGCAGTATCCTGTATTAACCAGCTGTCGTCAAGACAACTCAGACTCATGGCGACCCCATGTATGTCCGAGGAGAACTGTGCTCCATAGGGTTTTCTTTCTCTTTTTTTTCCTTTTATTGTGGTGAAAATATACATGACAAATCATTCACCAATTCAGCAGTTTCTACAAGTACCATTCAATGACATTGATTACACTCTTCACGTTACCCAACCCCTATTCCTCTTTTCCCTAATTATTCCACATCCACAGGGTTTCCAGTGGCTGATAACACGGAAGCAGATAGCCAGGCCTTTCTACCAATGAGCTTCTGAGAGCACTCAAACTGCCAACCTTTCAGTTAGCAGGGAGCATGTTAACCACTTGCACCACCAGGGACTCCCCAGCAAATGTGCTCAACCCTTAATACCATGGTAACTGAAACGTTAAACACCAGTTCTTCCTTTTGGATAGATTCTGTGGGGCAGAAGACAAATCACAAGGCATCCCAACTAAGGGCAAAAGCCAAATATGGGACAGTTACAGGGCTTGCTTCTGATAATGACAACAATTGCACTAGCAGGTTCTCAGGGCTGGGTTCTGGCAGGTGCTTTGTCTTACCCTCGCCCCTGTTACTGTGTTGCCAGAAGTCTCTCTGCACCAGCCCTCACGAGTCATCACAACCAAGACCTCCCTCTGGCTGCAGCTCTGGTCTCCAGGAGCGATCCATAACCAGGGTCACTTACCCCACACGCAGCCCTTCACTTGCCAAAGCTGCATGTGATGGTCCATACATCTCTTTGTGGCTGCCACACTAACTCCACCTGTGCTGGCTCCACCCACATCACCGCTCAGAAGCACTGAAGGAGGCAGGTCTTACCAGGCATGATGATCTCAGGGAAGCCTGTCTTCCGGGCTACGGCTGTGGTCCTGTCCACCAAGTGAGGAAACTCTTTTCGAATCTGATGGATATCTCCAGGAAGCAATTTCAATGTTACCCATAAACCTAGAAAAGCAACGGATGCATGAGTCATGTATGATCTTACACATTTTCAGAAGAAGCTTTCACGAAATCAATTTCAATGAATGAGCAACTTTTAATTCACAATTCAATGTCTTGAGAGAAAACAGGGTGTATAAGAAGGAAAGGGGCCGGGCCACAGGTGCCTGGAGGATAGGCATAGGAGAATTACCTGATGACTGGGACACGGAGTCTGCTCTGGGGGCGGATAACTGGCAGGTGAGTGGCACATTAAGCACAGTTGTGGGCTACGTCTGCCGGGACGAACGACTCTTTGGAGGTGATACACATTTAAGATAAATCAGAAGGTAGCATTTTTCTGGGTGTGGATTAAGAAGACTGTCATTTTCCATTCTCCCAAGAAGGATGACAGCAGGGGAGGATTCGGGAGGTAGAGCCACAGCTTCACCAACCCATGAAAGTCTCAAGTTGCTAAGCAGCATCAGCTCACAGGAAGGTGAGCGGGGCCGGCCCTGCACTGCCTGGGACAGCCTCAGCCTGGGAAGCCGGGCCTCTGCTTGACAAAGTCACTGCTCAGGAGGGGATGCTCAGCCAACACTCGGTTCTTGTACTCCAAGGGGAAAAATGAGACTTGCAAATACTCTAAACCAAGGTGCAAGGGGCTCCTTGGGGAGTGCACGGTGACCCTGCTGATGCCTGCAAGCTCTTCCTCCCTGCGAGATGATGGGAATGCATTCAGTAGAAAAAGCCCTCCCAGTAATCCAGCAGAGATGACCAGGAGAGGGAACAGAGCAGGCACTTTTAACAAAGTCAAAGGCAGGAGACAGAGCAGTTGCTCAACTCTGCAAGGCGTTTCCAAGGATGGAGACTTTCTCCCTAGTGGGGAGGGAGGGCGGTCACTATCTGCCGGCAAGTATGGGGCTCCATTCCTGATGCCTTGGGGCTGGTCCTGCTTGCCCCCCAGTCTTAGCTCTATGGGAGCCCATCTGCCCATCAGTATACTGAGATGCACCTCTCTCCCTGCGTCTGTCCTGACACCCACTACTGGTGGGTGTGTGCGTGGGTGTGCAGGTGTGTGCATACGTGTGTCTGCACATGCCTGTACTGTATATGTGTGTGCACAGTTGTGTGTGCATGTGTGCCTAAGTGTGTTGGATGTGTGGTTGTGTATACATGTGTGCATGTGTGTACATAAGCATGTAGTGTGCAAGTGTGTGTATGGCTGTGTGTGCATGTGTGTGCACGGTGGGTGTGTGCATGGTTGTGTGTACATGTAGTGTGTGTGGTTGTGTGTGTGCATATGTATGTGTATGGGTCCACATACATATGTGTGTCCATGTGTGATGTGCATGTGAGTGCATGGGTGTGTGTGTGCAGGTGTGTGCTCATGTGTGCATACATGCGTGTGTGTGGCCGTCCTCCCTCTAGATCCAGGGAGCATGCAGAGAGCGTGACCAGCCGTCACCGCGATGAGCTCAGAACTCTGCCCTCAGGAGAGCAAACACGGGGAAATGCTGGGCCTTGTCCACAAACAACTTGTACCGGAAATGCGTGGGGGAGGGATCTGACGGGTTCTCGAGAGAAACGCCGCTGGAGGCCGTCCCAGGAAGAAGGCCCTGCTAGAGTGAAGCCCATCCTCGCCCTGCCCTTTCGCTACCCAGTCTACCCCCGGCTGGCCGACTAACTGCGGCTCAGGAAGTCAAAACGTCAATGACGACATTTTGCCCTTTGCCAGCTGGTGATACCTCTTTTCGTCTTTCCACCTAGTGACGCCCCTGCCTTACTCAAAAGTGTCTACTAAGCACCTACTATGTGCCAGGCATGTACTAAGCACTGCAGATCAGGGTGAACACTCAGTGTTCCCCCACCAGGGTCTTACAGGCTATTGCAGGAGAAAAACACAAACCCACAGTGAAACACAAAACCCACACTCAAACCCAAAACCCACACTCAAACCAAAACCCACACTCCAATCCGAAACCCACACTGAAAACCAAAACCCACACTCAAACCCGAAACCCACACTCAAACCCAAAACCCACACTCAAACACGAAACCCACAGTCAAACATGAAACACAGAACCCACACTCAAACATGAAACCCAGAGTCTCTGAGAGAAATACAGAAGGACAACGAGCTCCTGAAGGACAAGTCCAGAGTGGAGTGACAGCTTGTCCCCAATACTGCAGTCTCGGGGACCACAGTGGAAGGGGCATGGAGATGAGATACGAGGATGAGTCAGTGCCGAGGGAGGAACTCCCAGCCGATGTCACCCTGGCATGTCACCCTGGCATGTCACCCTGGCCCAGAGATGTGAGCGAGCCGGGGGGAGATGAGGCTGGAGCGGTAGCAGGGCCCGGTGGGGTGAGAAGGAGTCAATACACAGAGAGAGGTATTCTGCAGGGTAGGATTATTCTTTCTCTTTTGGTGTTTTCCTTTTTCTTTTCCTTCCTTTTATTTTTCCTTCTTTTCCTTTCTTTTTAAGATATGAAATCCCAGAAGGTGGGAGGGAAGGTTTGAGGGAGAAGCACAGCCCATAGAAGGAGGTGCTGGGGGAGGTGTCGGGGGCTGGCATCAAGACAGGGGTGCACGCACTGTTGCTCAGGTTGTGCACTGCACAGAACACCTAGCCAGGGGAGGCGAGTGGCAGCTACATTCCAGCGCACGCTCTGCTCACCACACCGTGTGCCCTGGCACGGACCACATTCCCCCAGGGCCCCTCCGTGTAATTCACACAAAAGCACCACGCACCAGCGGCAGCTCCAGACCTTGAGGACCAGGAAGCCAATGGACCCTCAGAGGCCAGGCACGACCTCCCCCTAACCCACGGCTCTGTCCTCGAGTAGAGCAGGTCAGGTCAAGGAGACCCACAGAGGTGCCAGGTGAACCATCTCGGCAGCCGACATGCAGATGGTCCCCCTGGAGAACACAAGGATTGCTCGAGGCTTCTCAGCTCCCTCAGGTGCACTTCCCAAAGCCTCCCTGGGGAGCAAACGTCTGCAGGAAGACTCACACTGGATGACACTCCTCAAAGGCTCACAGCGTATGGTGGGGTGATTTTTTACAGGAGTCAACAGCAAAGACATGAGGATGAAACGTTTAATAATGCAATTCTAAACCCCTCCACTTTCCTTCTCTCAAAACCCAGCTTGCTCAAATATCTTAGATCACAAACTAGTATCTTAGGGACACAATTCAATTTGCAACAAAGTAACTTAAACATGGAGATTAAATTTTCCTGATTTCATAGAGTGTAACACTCTTTTCTACAGGAGAAAACGAGGCCTGTTTCCACCAAAGACAAAGTGCGTATTGGTTTGATATAGGGTCACTATGAGTCAGAATCGACTTGACAGCAACAGGATTGGATTGGGTTGGTAATAACTAAGAAGAGAAAGAACTGGTATGCAAGGTGTCTCAAAGACTAGGAGCAGATGTCACGGGTGTCTAAGGATTCTCTGTCCACATAAAACATTCAGCACCCCAGAGTCCATAATAACTTGAGCTAAATATAAATGACAACCGATTGTGACAAGTCAAATGTGTTGATAAAAACAGGCCAAAATGTGTACATACATGTTTATTTGTGCTATATGTATTTTCAAGTTTAAAATAAAGCACAAAGGGGGCATAGTTATGGATACTTCCTAGATACAACAAACACCTCCCAGGATTGGTCTCCTGGGTTTAAGGGCTTAGGATCATAGTCTTGTGTGGCGACTCAGTCAACTGGCATAATACAGTCCATAAAGACAATGTTCTACATCCTAGTTTGGTGAGTAGCATCTGGGGTCTTAAAAGTTTGCGAGCGGCCAACTAAGATACAACTATTGGTATCTACCAAAGACTGAAAGAAGAAACTAGTCAACAGAACCAACAGTCTACAGGAACACTGACATCACCTACCTTGAGACCAGAAGAACTAGATGGTGCCCAACTACCACTACCAACCATTCCAACCAGAGAGTTAACAGATGGTCCCATATAGAACGGGAAAAAAGTGTAGAATAAAACTCAAATTCCTAAAAAAAAAGCCAGACCTACTGGACCCATAGAGACTAGATGAACCCCCGAGACTATCACCCTGAGATACTCCTTAAACTTGGAACTCAAACCACTCCAAGAGGTCACCTTTCAGCCAAACGGCTGATTGGCTCATAAAATAAATTTTACCCATGAGTACAGTGCTTCTCAAAATATTCATCTAGATGAAACCAAATGGTAGGTATTTACCCTAGACCAAAGATGAGATGGCAAGGGGGGATAGGGAAGCTAGATTAATGGAAACACAACAGCCAAAATGGAAACCACAAAAATGCTGATATACTGTGAAGAATGCAACCTACGTCACTGAACAATACATATAGAAATTGTTAAATGAGAACCTAATTTCCTGTGTAAAGTTTCACCAAAAACACACACACAAAAAAAAATAAAAAATAAAGCATGTCACTAAGTTCATCACAGGAAAAAAAAAAAAAAAGGCCATGTCTATCTTGGCCAAGGCCAGGCTCAAAGCTGAGCTCAGGACTCACAGGCATGAGGGGAACAGATGAGTGTGGGAAACTCACTAGTTCTTTGTGAAGAGGGATATTTACTCTCTGGGACTCCTGTTGCCGTGTGCCCTTGACTAAGACTTGATGTGCAAGCAAGTGTCCCGCTAATTCTGGGTTATGACCGATGAGAAACCCAGGGAGCCAGGGGGCAGAGCCCTGCCAACCCAGCTGCTAATTCTGCATTCACTGGGCATACCCCTCCGCACCTCCCTGGAAGGCACTGACTTCTGCCCAGGAGTGGGCCCTGGAGAAACACTCACTTCCATGGAAGATGGAAGGTGTAATGCCACTCAGGCACTGTGGCTCAGGGAGGCACCTGTGGACCCTTTGAAAACACCATCAGTGTTCTTGGTTCTCAATTCAATTCTCACTGTGGCCTGGGCCATCCCGCAAGCCCCCCAGGACTACAAGGAATTGGGCGTCATTGGCATCAGCCCTTCAACCTTTTGCTTCATAGATTTTGGCCACATGCCCAGGAGACTGGCAGAGGGTAGGTTTCATATCCTTGTCTTAGTAATTTCCTGCTGGCCTGACACCAATCTCCACTTTCCCTGTGTGACTCTCTGTAATAAAAGTTTATCAAAACTCTGACGACTCAGCGAGAAAAACCAGAGACCCAGTGGGAGCCCAGACCGGAGAGGAGCAGCCACGCCACCTCCTGAGCAGACACCCCCAACCTGAGTCCTGCCATCGAAACAGCTTTAATTGGACTGCCCCGTGGTTTTCAATTAAAGTGCAAATTGGGAGGGCGGATAATTTACGAGAAGATGAGTCCTGGGTCAGATTAAAATTGCTCTGCCGGTAGAGGCCACGTTTCATTAACATTTGGGACTGGGGTTTCTATTTGCTGTTGTTTGTCCAGGAGGAGGGCAGAGGGGGAAGACCATAAAATGTTCACACTGAGAGAAAGCCAAACGTCCTTGCAGAACCACAGGATCAGCTCATTCTTCTAGAACATTCTTCAGACTCAATTCATGCTCTCCTTCAGAACAATGGGGAATGAATCAAAATAACTGCTTTCTAAAAACCCAGCAACGTAAACATGACGAGGGTAATCAATGTCACTGAATTGTGCATGTAGAAACTGCTGAACTGGAGAATGTTCTATTGTATATATTTGCACCAAAATTAAAAACATAAACCTACACACACAGCGTAACCAGACAATGAAATGGGTCCATTCACCCAAGCTCTGTTGAGTTTGTGGCATGTCTGCATCACATCGATGACTGAGAGGTGGATTTTCCACTGGTGCTAAGGGCAGCATTGAGTACATGAAGTTCTGAAGGTGATTCCCCCTCTGACTGAGTGGGGTGGGGCGCGGGCCTTAGTAAACAGTTGTTACCTGGCAGCCCTCCTGCCAGCCCCAAGTGCCAACTGTCACCAGCCCCGAGGTGACTAATTCACCGCCTCCAACAGAAGGTCAGCTGCTCAGAAACTCGTCAGCATGGGATTAAAAACGATGAGGCCCATGCTGGGGGTGGGGGAGGAGAGGTGACCTTGATAACAGAACAAAAGGGAAACACAGTCTGCACGCATGAAGCCACTTCCCGGGGGACAGAGAGAAGACGCCCCAGAAAACAATGTGACGGTGATGGGCGTGAGCAACAGAGCTAAGCAGCATGTACTCAGGTGGGTTACGTTCGATGTCTCCGGCTTCCTCCAAAGAGCAAGGTGGAATAACACCCAATGGACAGTCACTGTGTTCTCTGAAATCACTGCAAGTGTTTTTTAAGAATGATTAGGGTGAGACGAGACGGCTGGAGAAGACTGGGTGAGCTAAAGGAATGAGTTCTTCCAGTCGCATCACCTCTGGGTTCTTTCCAAATGTTTCATTCCGTCCAGCTTGTCTTCCCTCTCACCCAGTATGTTGGCTCTCAGCCACGCTTACAAAGATGATCAGCAGGAACATATAAGCTTGCTGTACGTTAAGGACAACCAGTACACACCATTCTCCAGCATTGTCATCATCATCATCATCATCACCACCATCATCAGACGCAAACACACAAAATGCACACCAGGCAGCACCATCCACGTAAATGCAAACGGACATTTACGGAAACAAAAAAACTCAGATACGTACCCTGCCCCTTGTGGTTGACTTCTTTTGCAGCGATCACTTTGTTTATAACGGTTTGAAGGAAGTCATTCTCCCCTGCCACCCTGGGTGAAAAACGGGATGACATGTTCAGCGGCTTGTGTCGGATGGCGTCGTCCAACGCGAGCCTGGAGGGCACGGGACGACCAAGACCACAGGAGACAAGGGGGTACAGAGACCCAGAGGCCACGTAACAGGGGAACACAAGAGATCATCGTCACCAAGGGCGAGACAGAGGCATTGTGAGTCAACACACAACAAAGGACAGGATAGGTAACAAGAGAAACAGGAAGAACATTGATCAGGAAAATGCTGAACCACGTGAGAGAAGTAAAGCAAATGGGCCGACCCTCTCCCCGGGAAAAGAACATGCATGGGGCTCCGCTCCATTTCCACTTGTTGTTGGGTGCTGTTGAGTCGATTCTGACTCATAGCGACTCCGTGTGACAGCGTAGAACTGCCCCATAGGGTTTCCCAGGCTGTAATCTTTACGGAAGAAGGTCGCCAAGCCTTTCTCCTGTGGAGACACTGGGTGGGTTTGAACTGCCAACCTTTCGGTTAGCAGCCAAGTGCTTTAACTATTGCACCACCAGGGATCCTTCCATTTCCACTAGACAATGACAAAAAGGGACTTAACTGAAAGTAAAGTGGTTGAAGGGCGTTTGATCCCAAGGCATGGTTTTGGTCATTTCTCCAGTTTCAATAGTTCTAAGGTATAGCTGGGTCAAGGGGCAGATGGTTTGCAGGGAAAAGCAAATCAAGACAAAAAGTGTATGTGGGCGGGGTGGTGGGGAGGGTCCTCCATCCTAATTGCCCAGGGAGCTTTCTGGCGAGCACACCACTCCATCAGACTGTGCACTCAATCCAGTCTCCAAAGACCAAACGTGAGAAGAAAGGCAGAGCCTTTGGAAACACAACTACACTGTTTGAAAAGCATAACCGCGCAACAATTGGGAATGCAAAGGGTCCTTGTTTTCAGGTCCCTGGACCAGGTGTCTTCAGAAGGTGCTGCATCAGGACCACGTGAACGAATGCAAACAGGCAACGTGTGAAAACAGAAATACCATGTAGCACAACAAAGCACACTACGAAATGAGCAAGAAAATACACATCATGTGCGTCATGTTGACAATCATTTCTAAAAACCCAGGACAGCGCTGTTCATCACCTGAGCCTACGTTACTTAAGGGAGCCGAGGAGTGTTCTCATTTACTTCACCAAGTTAAAAAAAGAGGAGAGGGTGGAGAAGCAGACTGGGCTGGCTTCCCTGAAACCTACCCTGTGAGATAAGAAATCAGTTTTAATGGAGCAAAAACGGTTTCATTACACTGGCTTTTCCAAAGAACTGTTTCAGTTGCTTATTTTGCTATTAAAATCATGTTGCTCTGTCATTTCCAACACTGAAAATGTTAATCTGTCTATTAGTCTTCCTTGAATAGGGCAAGAAGCCACAAACTACAGTACGAGTTGAACGCGCAATAATACTTTTTAAAGAGGACGTTTCACTGCAAGACAGAAAAAGATGGCAGTAGTACATACTGGATGGTTTATCCCCGTGAAAATAGCAAATCTGAAACTATTAACCTCCCTAACTTTCCAAACAACAGCCAAACTTGTCTCACCCTTGAGTTTTCCCAAAAGACACTAGCTGGCAACAGGTCATTTCAACTTAGTAGCACATGTGGGCATCAAAAAACTCTGGGGTCTAATATGTAAAGTAGTATTCAAAGCAGCCTTATTTCTCATGGGCAAAAGAAGCAGCTTCATATTATAATTTTATAAAGGTGTATTTTATTTATAACCGCAATGCTTGCCCATGTTCAAAGATGATATTCCCATTGTTTACTGAGGAAAATTCTAGATTCTGGAGAACTGTGCTCCCTTTATAACTATCTTTGTTGTTGTTGTTAGATGCCATCGAGTCAGTTCTGACTCACAGCGACCCGATGTACAACAGAACGAAATGATGCGCTGTCCTGCACCATCTTGACAATAGTAGGTATGTTTGAGCCTGTTGCTGCAACCACTTTGTCAATCCATCTCATTGAGGGTTTTCCTCTTTTTACTGGGTGTTATTCCAAAGCTATGAGTCGGAATCGACTCAACGGCAATGGGTTTGGTTTTTGGTATTCCAAGGCAGCGCTGTCGAACAGAACTTTCTAAGACAGTGGAAATGTTCAAATCTGCACTGACGGATATGGTAGCCACTACCTACATGTCATTACTGAACATTTCAAAGGTGTTACACAAATGTTTAAATCTATTACATTTTAATTAATTTCAATTTAAAGAGCCACAGGTGGCTATTGGTCATGGTACTGGACAGAGAAGTAAATCTAAAGCATTTAAGTCACAAAAGACCTTTGCCACCAGTGGTGCTGGGTGAGATACATATAACTAACCTCAACTTAAAGCTCGATAACACAGGGTTTTCTGTTATTCTCATGTCAAGAAGATTACAAAATCTTCCACTGGGCTATAGAAAGAGCCTCCATTCACTATCTGAGCAGCTAACCTGCCTGCAAAGAAAACTACATGATTCCCAATGCAAACAAGTGGTACTCGGGGCCTGGGGGAGGTGAGTGGGGAGGCTAGTCTTGCAAGGGTTGGCGTACAAAGGGAAGCCATCTCACACCTCCTGTACCCAGGGCAGGGAGCCTTCAGCACCCAGTTAGCATCATCAGCCTCCCAACCACCCTCAGCCAACACTGAAAACCATGCAAAATTTCTAGAATAAAATTTGTCTAAAGCCTTCAATTTCCTAAGTAAAAACAAAAACAAAGAGAAAAGACAGAACACAGGACATTCTGACAGGTCATCCTACCTCCCTCGTCACTTACTTTTCTTCTACTTCTCACCCCCAGGAGGGAGCTGTCTCCTATGATTAACCTGTACCATTGTAATTCCTCTTTTCTCTCCACCTCCGTCCAAGGTGTAGAAGTGCCCTTAAAAGGGCCAAAGACCACTCTCTGGGTGCCTTCTGACTCTAATCTCCAGGAAAATGACATCAATTCTGTCAACCTTTTCTGCAGATCAGAGAATCCACTGAACGAATCTCCCCCAAGTGCTTTCTAAGCTTTCCCCATCTCTCTCTAGACTCCAGGGCAGAACTATACAAAGCTTAAGTAAAGCACAAGTGCAGACAGAGTCTACTCCAAGCAAAAAACCGAGAAGAAAAATCAGTGGCTTGATGACTTCCTTTAAACTATTATTTCTCACTTTACAAAAGAATTTATCATTATTTTGTTTGGTTTTTCTATTTTAAAAACAGCAACTTTCTGTAATGAATTTTAAAGTATTGTATTTAAAAAATCTGAGTCTTACTAGAATAAATCAATTATGTAAGGAAATATCCACGCTCAGAGTAGAATTGTAATTCTGCATGTCCTCCGTGATAAGGCAATTCACGATCATATGTAAAATCTCCGACTTCCAGGTCCATAAACAAATGTTTACCCAGGATTCTAACGGCTTCAAAAATTTCTGCATGCTATAGCAGTGACTAAGCAGATTTCTCACAATTACTAAATAATCAATCCCTATTTGTGCTATTACGAAGATAATTATTACAAATGTACGTTTTGCACACTGTATCTGGTTAAGCACTTTGCCCCATACTTACGGTTGAAAGGGAATGAAATGTTGTTTGTCTTCATCATCTACTTTTCCATTTATTATATCTGTCACATCCATCACTGAGGATAAAAAAAAAAAAAAAGAATAAAGAGAGTGTTTTGTTTTAAATGCTACAGTCAAGAAAACAAAGGAATATCAGAATGTCTTCCAGTCAACAATGGATTAAACTGTACAGTGGAATTTTCTTATATTCAAGTTTAAATTATTTCCTTGTTTGCAAGACAAATTAAGTTATCTGAAAATGGTGGCCCAAATGGAGTTGGACTCAAATGGCAGAGGTTCCACTGAATAAACTTGTTCGCCTATTATCTAGCTGGCGCTCTAAAGCTGCACCATTCCATAGAAGTTTCTGTGATGATGGAAATGTTCTGTAACAATGAACACTTGAAATGTGGCAAGTGTGAAGGAGGAACTGAATTTTTACTTTGAGTTCATTAATTAAAGTTTAAATTTACATGGCTACAGGCTACCATATTGGATGATGCCACTTTGGAGCCTTACGTAAGTTATGACATTCCCCTAAATAATAAAACCGTAATAAAGTAGCTACCATCTACCAAGTGCCCACCACATACTGGTGTTGCCCGGTGCTGCACCAAGGGGGCATTTTACCAGCTAATCCTCACAACAACCTACCAGAGAGGTGACGAAACCGAGGCTCAAAGACAAGAGTTAATGAATCTGCCCAAAGTCCACAGTTGGAAAGCAGAAAAGCCAAAGTTCAAATCCCGGTTTGCCTGTTTCCAATGCCCAAGCTCTTTCCATTCTATTAAACTGCCTCATAAATGCATCTCCCTGCATGGCGGGGAAGTGGGGGACACAAGCTGCTAAACGTCACAGGAAAGGCTGGCATGTTCTGCACGGCACCTACATTAAAGGAAACAATACCACCCGGTGGGTGATAACATCCAACACATCCAAGGATTAACTCAGAGTCATTTTCCACCTTCAGCATAACGTCTCTTGCCCTTGATCACAACAAACAGCAAAAAATCCAAGCTTAACCCTAGGTGGCATTGGACCCTTTCTCTGCCTCTGCCTTTGCTCACTGCTACACTTGAGTAAAGAAAAGGGAGCAACACACTCGTTTATTGTCTTTTGCACAAACCCTTCCCTAGTGACTATAATCATATATTGAAACTGTGAACAATTTATGTTTTTATGTCCCCCCCCCAGCCCCAAAGAAAATAGAAGGGTGATGTGGGACCAGAAAAGCAGCATTCCCAGCCCCTGGTGGGCTCGCCAGAGCCCAAGGAAGCCTACAGAGGTGTCTTGAGGGACACTATCCATACACACTCCACTGAACTAAGCATACTCACAGATCACAGAGCCTACAAGTGTGTTTAGAATGTCAACTACATCAGAACCATAAAGTTACAGTTGCTCAGAAGACAAACGGCCTGGGCTCAAGTCTCCACCTGGGAGATTTCCCAGCTTCAAGCACTCCTGGAGCGACTGCTTAGCCCTGGATCATGAGATCCTTGTATCTGGTTAAGATGTCCATATGCACAAGCCCACGTTATTACCACTAGTTTGAAATCATTAAATAGAGCTCGTTTTATAGCTAAAGTTCAATCACCTTTGGATATTTTTAGCAGCAGCCCAGTCAACCAGCTATGGGCCAGAAAAATGGAAGTTTGAACACAGGAGAGCACCTTCCCACCCCAGTCCATACTGGGTGGCCTTCCTACATACCTGTAGACCTCTCTCCTCCATCCTGGGACTCATCTACCATTTGCTTGTGGATCTCCTTCACTAGCCGACTCCCTTACCACATCCAATGCCTAGTTGAGGAGCACTTTAGGATACCAGGAGCACACCAGAAGCCCAGAAGCCCAGGAGCACAGCAGGAACCCAGGAGCCCAGGAGCACAGCAGGAACCCAGGATCCCAGGAGCACAGCAGGAACTTAGGAGCCCAGGAGCACACCAGGAACCCAGGAGCCCAGGAGCACACCAGGAACCCAGGAGCCCAGGAGCACACCAGGAGCCCAGGAGCACACTAGGAGCACACCAGGAGCCCAGGAGCACACCAGGAGCACATCAGGAACCCAAGAGCACAACAGGAGCCCAGGAGCACACCAGGAACCCAAGAGCACACCAGGAACCCAGAAGCCCAGGAGCATACCAGGAGCCCAGGAGCCCAGGAGCACAGCAGGAACCCAGGAGCCCAGGAGCACACCAGGAACCCAGGAGCCCAGGAGCACACCAGGAACCCAGGAACATTTTGCAGAAAAGCAGTGATAAGCAAGAAATGCAACCTCAATCTGAGCACCAATTTGTTGCAAAAAGTCTTAGTCCTGCCACTGTAAAGGACAACGTTTTCAGGCCAACCAACTCCAGCTTTCAAGGAGATGTTGGGGAATCACGTTCAGGTGTGTGGCCCTGAAGACTATGCCCCACTGCTCTCCAGCACGTGCCAAGGAACTTCTCTCCATGATCTGGACTTTGGGCCCCAAAATGTCCCTGTTGTAAAAGGAGGAATTGAGGGACATTAGGGAACACCCCAAAACTGACAGCCTAGTGTCTCTGGGTTCAGGTATACTGTGGTTGTTGTTAGGTACCATCGAGTCGATTTTCAACTCATAGCGACCATATGTGACAGAGGAGAACTGCCTCGTAGAGTTTTCTAGGCTGTAATCTTTACCGGAGCAGATCACCAGGTTTTTGTCCCACAGAGCCACTGGGTGGGTTTGAACCACCAACCTTTCGGCTAGCTACAGAACATGTAACCATCGCACCACCAGGGATCCTGCATTCAGGTATAAGGGCAAGGCAACCCAGCAAACAGATGGCATTCCATTATGCTGGGATGCATGCCTTCAGGAAGGGAGGTGGCATCAGGGTGAAAGTGAGGGGGGATCAGGGAGAGCAAAGACAGGAAAAAAGAAAGATAGTGCTGAGAAACACCCTACGGGGGATAGCGGACAGGTAGCCCATCCTGCTGGGGGGCCCTGCAGCAGTACAACCTTGCTCCCCAGGAACTGACACGAAACTTCGAGATGGCCAAGGTGCACACACCATTGAGTTCAGCAACTCCCCTTCTAGGGACTTATCCTCAGCAAACAGTCAGGTGGACACAAAGATTCAAGTTCAAGGATGTTCATCACGTACCTACTGTACCACAAAGCTGGAGACACTCGCCAGGCCCCAAAATAAAGGATTGTTGAAATAATGGCATGGCATACGTTGCAGCCATTCAAAATCCCATTTTTCAATAATAGACTGAAATGTTTGCAAAATAATGTTACATCTTCTTTAAAAAAAAGAAAAGATAAAAAGTACACAGTAGGATCTAATTTTGTTTTCAAAAATTATACACCACCAACACACGGAAAAAACGGAGAAATATACCAGAATACCACGAGGTCCTGCCGTAAGCCAAGTACTTCTATTTGACATATACCTTTCCATCTTTTCCATAATTTTTGCAATTTTATATCACTTTTACATTATGAAAAGATTTTTTAAAAAAGAAATGAGACATTATTTTTAATAGAGAACAAAGAACTGCGAGCTTAAAGGTCTATGAACACTTTGTTCATTTTGAAAAACCATGCTCTCTCAACACAGACATGCAGAACTCATCCTGGATAAAGCCTCGAAATTAAATTTGCATGTGGCAATTAAAGTTACATGCAGATGGGCAGAACAGGCTCCCAAAAAGTTGAATAATTTTCTCAGATATGAGAAGTGTCCCTTCATAACAAGAAAGAGAACATTAGGTTGGTGGATGAGGGAGTGAGTTGGTAGCACATACTACTAGCGGGTGGGGCCAGTGGTGGTTGAAACATACAAAATGAGCTCTGGTGGCACAGTTGTTAAGAGCTCAGCTGCTAACCACAAGGTAAGCAGTTTGAATCCACCAGCCACTCTTTGAAAACCCTATGGGGCAGTTCTACTCTGTCCTATAGGGTCACCATGAGTAGGAGTCGACTTCATGGCAAAGGGTTTGCTTTGTTTTTGTATATTGCTGTTATTATTGGCTGCTTATGAAATCATTTTTTTTAATGACGTGATATGGCTTGCAAAAGAATCTAGAATATTCACGAAGTCAGGTCTTGACTTAGAAACACAGTACAAATCTAAGCCCTAAGTTTCCTGGTAGCCAAGGCAATGAATGTCTTCATAGCTATTACTGTCTCAGACAATAATTATCTATCAGGTATCAAGAAACGTCTCTACATCCATAGCTACATAAATACCAAGAATCACAAAATGCACAAGAAAGAATATCACAGGGCTGGGTAATGAAACTCCCCCGCAACCACAAAATCGCAAGAGAAAACCATTCCCCAAAATTGTGAAAAATGAAAGTGACAATGGAAGAGGTGGACTAATTAGAACTTCCCAAGGGCACTTGTATCTTTCCTCAGTGGAGAGAACTGACCTCTCACTTTTCAGCGTTGTCACCGAAAAAGCACAGCACAGGTATGTCTTAAGATAACTGCATCTCATTCATGGTTTGCTCTCTTTCCACTTCTGCACTGCTTTGACCACGCTGCACACATTCCAAACCTGAGCCAATCACCAAGTCCATAAGCCCTGAAAACCTCCAGTGACTGGGGCTTCCCTGCAGGCTGAAAATGTGGGTCAGGGTCCCCCCAGGAGAAGACGGGATCAGCTTAAAACCAAATACACGATTCAAGTCTAGAACATGGGGACCGAAACATCCTGGAGCTGCACAGACTTGAGACCTCACGGAAAAGACCTTTATGGATTTTTTTCTCACCAACAGAAAAGCTTATAAATCAAAGCTGCCCACTGTCCAATATCCAATGGTGGCTCTTATTCAAAGTGAACTTGATGATCTCAAACTCTTAAGGAAAAGGAGAAAACTGGATTACCAGCCACTCCAAAAGGCCGCCGCAGTCCCGAGGTCAACTTCCTGGTGTTGTTGTCCCTCAGCTCCATACGCCCGACGCGGACGATCTGACAGACAAAACTGATTTTCTCCCTTTTCAGGTCTTTGCTTCCAAGGTCCTAGAAACATTAATTTCCATACAGTCTTTCAGAGAATCAGTATTCAGTGTGGTTTCAACTGCAACAGAAGATGAATTGAGACTCTCTGCTCCTACCACCTCTTAGCATTTTAATAAGTTATTCACATGACAAAAAAGAACCGAATAACAATATTTAATTAAGGTGAAGGGAACTTGAGATACGAGCTTAAGAGAGCTGCTGGGTGGTAAAAGGGTAAATCTTTGTCATGATGATTCTAAGGCTGGCTGAGGACTCAGAAGGTTTCGGGGAAGGCTCTATATTATTACTAAATTAACATTTATTACAGGAAACCTGAGGACCATGTGCTAGTGTGGTAAGCAGACAGGGAGGTCACTAAAATTAGTCACTAGAATGGTTGGTAGTTACACTGAGCATCAGTGGTGTTGTTGTTCCAACTCATAGTGACCCTTTGTCCTACAGAACAAAACACTGCCTGGTCCAATCAGTGGGGCACCTACCGTAAAAACAGCTCGCAAATTATGTAATCTGTCTATATCTTTAGGTAATCCTGAACTTGACCAGCGAACCAGGTAGTTTTCACTAAAAAAGAAAAAAAAAAAAAGGAAGAAATCAAAGCACTTTAATTTCCAAATACAACAGCTTATTGAATGTCCATCCACACTGACTTACAATTAATACTAGCGATGTCCACTGCTTATGAAAATACCAACAATATCACATAGAGCTACACTTTAGTTAACATACCATTTCCCACACAATGCTATATTGGAGGACTACACAGAACCCTTGGTTTTGATCTTGAATGCCGTGAGTTCGAATTGCAATGGAATTACCGCAGATGGCATTTCAAAGTTCATTATTTCAAAAGCATATTTGTTCTTTTAGAGTGACCACAGTATAAAATTCAACACAGTTACTGTTTATTTCAGAGCCTATAGCAAACCACACACAACGTAAAACTACTAATGGAACCCTACAACAAGAGGAAATAAAGTGCTCACGAGACGGGAAAGGGAAATTCACCCGTGTCCTCTCTTCCATCATATACTAAGTTTTCACATTGTAAACTTCTTTAAAATGAAGATATTGGAGTTTAAAACACACACACACACACACACACACACACACTTCACATATAATATAAATAATAATGTTTCCTTCCAGACAAAGAGAAAGGTCTATTGAGGGCCAAAGGCAAGAACCAGTAAGAAACTACACAGTAGAAATGGGAGGAATGGCAGAGATGGTTTTACAATGTTTTCATTCAACAAATAATAACTGAGGACTTTCACGTGGCAGGCCCTGTTTTAGGCACTGTATGCCAGTCAATCATCCTAGAGAAATAGCAGCAAGACAAAGGTCACAGAAATGACATTCACAAAGACCAAAAGTTCAAAAAACCAAGAATGAGAAATGAGTGATTTTGGGGGGTCTGGATATAAAACCCTATGAAGACAACATAGAAGACAAAGTACGACTTCGATCTTTAATTAGGTCTTTAAAATAGCAGAAGACTGTACCTGTGGCCAGTACAACTCCATAACCAACTATCCACACACACGCACAGGTAGGAGATGACTTGCCCCAACCTGGAACCCAAGCAACCTGTCATCACAACATCCAGGTACATCTCACAGTCTGCAAAGAGAGCCTCAGCCAGCTGCTCAGGGAGGTCTGCCCAGCTGATCGTCCCAAGAGTTCACCATAAGGGCAGGACGTTTGGGTGGTGCAGATGTCATTTTCTAACACTAACCAAGAGGAAAGACAGAGCCCCAAAACATCACCAACCTGATGAATTTGGATTCCACGGGGTCATAGAGAGACATGAGCACTTCAGCATCTTCTCCTATTTTACAAACCACGTTTTTGAGGTTGACAAACAAGGCAAAAGAAGGGGTGGCAGCAAACTTGGCTTGTCTGTTAATATCTATGTTCTGCTTTTGAGACTGTAATTGGGAAATAAAAGAGAAGGTCAATATTGGCAATACTCATCAGGAACGCTTGTTTTTTTTATCCCAGACACAATAAAAAAAGGTTTGCAACTAGTTGGCACAACACAGCAAAGCCATTCCTGCCGTCAGTTACTTGTACCGAGTTCATATTCTCAAGACATGTGAATGACCACCCACCTGAAAAAAAAAAAAAATACCACCCTGTGCAATGTTCACACCCCTTAACAGTTCATACTGAATCTTTTCTTCAAAGATATAAACTTACCAGTGTCCGGTCAATGAATCAGAATGGTAATTATCTACTTATATGTGTAGTTACTTGTTTAACATTGGTTGGTCCATTGAACTAAACACTTAAAGAGGAGATCTCTGTCTTATTCATTATGTCCTCAGTACCTCGCACACAGTAGCTACTCAATAACTCCTTGTTGAATGAATGGATGACTCAATCAGTCGATCCATTTCTGACTAAATACTACATACGAAATATCATTAAAGTCCATGGAAGATGAAGTAGATCAGTAAGACCTGTGTTTCCTACCCTCACCGAGCTTACAATATGTCACCGCCCACCCCTAGCCAAGAGGACATGAAGAATCCAGTATTGTTTCCCACTGATAGGCGAGAAGACAAAGTCAATGGCCTCCTAGGAAGAAGAACAATGCCATACACACCCCTCTCAAGTGATGAAATCCTTTCATGTCATCAACAAGTTCTGCCCCTGGGCTTCACTCGAAATATCATCATATGAAACATACCATGTAGCTGTTCTTTGCGGGTCCTTTTGTAGTGCAAATTCTGGACATCCTTTATATTTTACCAGTGCTGCAAACTCTTACTGAGAAAAAGTACTCCAAATATACCTGGTCGTATTACAGAGAGTTGGACTTACCTTCTCTTCTTGTAATCTTTCTTCCACTTGCTTAGAAGCTATTTCGTGAGCTCTGAAGAGACTGATTGTGCTGGTTAGCTCTGGATCCAAAATGTTGCCATCTTCATCCCTCACCACCAGGTCCAAATCAAGAATTCTAAAACAAGAAGGATTCAATAGTTCATGGACACAAACCAAGGAGTTTCAATTCTCGAGCCCAATTCAGTTGCCGAGCAGATGAAAATTTCACAGAAATTCAGGGTCATTCACAACTATCCGGGAACATAACTCTGTGCGGTCACTTCTTTAACTCAAAATGTGTCCCCTTAAGGGAGGTACGATTTCCTCAATTTTTACTTCAATTGCAGTAGAGACTTTTTCTTCCAGTGATAAATTTTACAGAGCTACAAAGCCCCACTGAAATACATTACTAATTATTATGTAAAATATGGGCAGTAAAGCACACTGTTTCTATATACTATGTATATACAGATAGTCAGGTATTTGTGCACGCACATACATTTTCCTAGGACTGAACACATAAAGCTGGCGGTTTTGGTTGTTATCACTGGACTGGGGAGGGAAAGGAAGCTGGAGCAGGAACACAATCACTTCTCTCTTTACTCACCACTGTCTCTAGAAGGTTCCACCACACTGCTTTCCTCCAACTTAGAGTCAGCTCTTGTCTCTAAATTAGCTCCTCAGAAGATTTTCAATAAAGATGTTCTATTGTGCTTGACATCAGGCTCATGGAAGTTACATACAATAGTTGTGACCAACTTCCTGGCCAGGGGGCTAAATGTAGTAGCCAACTGTCAAGGATTGAATTGTGTCCCCTAAAAATGTGTGTCCACTTGGCTAGGTCATGATTCCTAGTATTGTGTGATTGTACGCCATTCTGTCACCTGATATGATTTTCATATGTGTTGTAAACCCTACCTCTATGATGTTAATGAGACAAGACTCAATTTACAAGATGAGGTTGTATCTTAAGTCAATCTCTTTTGAGATATAAAAGAGAGAAGTGAGCAGAGAGACAGGGGCACCTCATACCACCCAGAAACAAGAGCCAGGAGAATAGCGCATCCTTTGGACCTGGGGTCCCTGCACTGAGAAGCTCCTCAACCAGGGAAGACTGATGACAAGGACCTCCCCACAGAGCAGACAGAAAGAGAAAGCCTTCCCCTGAAGCTGGCACCCTGAATTCGGACTTCTAGCCTCCTAGACTGTGAGAGAATACATTTCTCTTTGTTAAAGCCATGCAGTTGTAGTATTTCTGTTATAGTAGCACTAGATAACTAAGACACCAACGTAAAACATAAGCAACATCTGGCTAATAAATTTCTTCAGCCTATATCCAGAATTATTTTTGGGCAACATTCTCTCCAATTCTCCAAATCCAACTAAACTGTCTGGTGATTTTTACTATAGTTTTTACTTAAAGAATAAACAAAGGCAATTGTATGAAGAAAGAAATGAAGAGCTGTGCTATAGTGTTTTTTGCTGGTTTTCTTTTTAATAAGACATGCAGATCATAGGGCAGGAAATTAACCATAGATGGCTCCTATCCTGGCTTTGGAATCTTATTTTTGTTAACCATCTAACAAGGGAAGTGTCTTTTGAAAGAAAGATAAATTTCACTTACAGAATGTCTCTATCAGTTACAATTTAGAGGGAAGTTAAATTATCGATAAACACTCCAATCAGACAAACTAACCTTAGAATCCTCTTCTTCCTGAGACCAGAGACAGACCTTGCAGCGAGATACAAAACCTAGTAACGGGTCAACGTTTCGTTTTGGGGGCTATGCTGAACCACTGCACCATTTGGAAGGCAATGTTTAAAAATCACGTTTTTTTCGTTTAGTATCTATTGAGCAAATTCCACTGATGCTGAAGGAGGATCCACTAGCTTGGCAGCAGGTGAGGGTAAACAGGCTTTTAAAGAAACAGAAGCTTTTCACGCTGTGTGAAAACAACCTCAGGGGTTGCAATGTTTGTGGGTTGCCTCAGGACCAAAAGAAAGAGGCATTAAACAACAATCTTTTAAGCTCTCATTAGCTGTCTTTATAACATGTTTCACTGATGAGGCAAAGACCCTTCCCTCCCAAACATTACTGCTTATTTCTGCCCTGAACAGTCTCCTGGAGGGAGTCAGCGCTGGTGTGGGCGGGGCCAGTGGTGGTTGGAGTGGGATCAGAACTGGTGTGGGTGGGGTCACAGCTGGTGTGGGCAGGGTCAGTGCAGGTGTGGGTGGGGACAGTGCGGGTGCGGGCCGGGCAGTGCGGGTGGTGGCCAGGTCAGTGAGGGTGCAGGCGAGGTCAGTGCTCCTGGAGGTGGGATCAGTGCCGGTGCGGGTGGGGTCAGTGCCCGTGCGGGCGAGGTCACAGCTGGTGTGGGTGAGGTCGGTGCTTGGCGGGGTTCATTCAGTGCTGGGGTGGGCGGAGCTACAATGCACCTGGCTTTGTGCATTTTTCTAGAGGGATGGTTCATGACCTTCGCCACATTCTCAAATGGCTCTCATAACCCTCCATCCCCAGGGAAAAAAAACAGGCAAGAACACCTAAATGACAGATGAGCAAAGGCACAAAACACCTTATTAAATCCACCCATCTTACAGTCAAACCTGCAACACTGTGATTTGATTTTGTACTGTTTCGTTTTCTCAAGCAAGGACTAGAAAGACACTGACAAAGCATTAGTCTTTAGAGAGGTTATTGCATTAGTCTTGAGATCCTCTGACAAAACCTGTCTTATTAAGGACTGCACTTCCTATCAAAGTAGTAAACTACGTTTGGAAACACTTCCCTTCTTAAACGAGATTGTTCCAAGACGTAATGTATTTATGTAGCTTCCTGCAGCAGGTGGTCCCTGAACATAAGTTCAAAATACAATCCTCCAACAGAAAATAAAATCAAAGCTCCAAAAGGTTGGCTTTTTAAGCAGGTGGTCTTGAAATGGGTTTCACTGTAGCAATATCTAATACCAAATACACAGAAGTCTCTGGCTTTCCAGAAAAAGAAAAAAAAACTTTCTTGTAGCATTTCTAATCCATACTTCTTACGAAGAGTCGTACTTAAGACATGTCACGTGAAAATATGAATTAGCAGAAAACAAAAGTCTGACTCTCATTTTCCATCAGGTTTACATCCCGTCTCTGGGCTCCATGTGCCGATGTGTAAAGGAGGGGATGGACTAAATCAGAAGTTTTCCAATCCACTGTCTGACATAATCCAATACATTTTTAAAAACTGAGATTTCCAACCAGCATCCCAGACAAACCGAATCAGAATCTTAAGGCATGGCACCCACGATTCTGCATTTTGAAGGCTCTCCAAGTGATTCAGATACAGACTGGTATGTGGGAACCTTGTGACCGAGGAATTTTAAGTGTTCTTGCAGCTCTGACATTATATGAACAACCAAACAGTTATCAGGCAGAATTAGGGTCAGAGAAGCTGCTTTCCCTTCAGTGTCAGAAAACATGTGGCACACTGCAATGCACAGTTCTGTGGGGGAGTGAGCATGCCATCATGAAAGGCATTCAAGCAGAGCTGGGGGGGCACCTGCCACAGAGGTCCTGTAGAGGGGAGCTTTTATATGAGATATACAAAGCAATTATTCGGTGTTTATCTGCAACTCAAATTTAACTGGGCTATATTTCTGTTTGGAGTTCCTGGGTGGTGCAGCTAACCGAAAGGTTGGAGGTTTGAGTCTACCCAGAGGCACCATGGAAGAAAGGCCTGGCAATCTACTTGTGAAAAATCAGCCATTGAAAACCCTACAGATTACAGTTCTACTCTGACACACGTGGGGTCGGCATGAGTTGGAGTCGACTCCGCGACAACTGGTTTTCGGTGTATTTTTGTTTGTGAAAACTGGTAGACATAACCTGGTCACAAATTGTAAGGAGATGATTTCTAATGTTCCCTCCAACTCTAAGAATGTAGGACTCTACAGAAAGAAAATCAATGCTTATTATTGTACAAGGTACCTCCACGTTGGGACTAGAAGTCCAATACTGTGACCCCAAGGTAAAAATTCCTCACTGGGGGGAATCAGTGTGGACCTCCTCGGGCCAGTAAAAAAGACAAGCTTCCCAGGCCCTAGCTTCTTCACTCCATCCCTTGAAGGGTGAGGAGCAGAAATTTCAACAATGAATTTGGAACCTCTCCTGATTTTCAGAACCCACTAGAAAATACCTCATCCTTCTAAAAACGAAAAGCAAGCCATTATTTTGATGTCAGAAATTTTTTTATAATAAAATATGATTTTGGCCTCGTCAAGGGTCATGGTGATATTATTACATCAGATAATTTAAGCATGAAATCATCTTTCAAACAAACAAACCTGTTTCCATAATCAATTTTGGCAGTGATCTTCTTCTTCAGTTCTTTGAGCTCATCCTGGGGCAGAGTTCCAGAAAGAATCTGCGACCTCCATTCAATAAGGTCATAGATCATGTTCCGCACACTTTGAAACATCTCCCTATTATCTTGCTATACAGGGAAAAAAGAAGGAAGAAAGAAAAAAAAACCAATTGTCAAGATATGAGTGTAAAGCAGCCCTGTAGAGAATGTCAAATAATATGATGTAGATAGATTTTTCTTTTCAAATACACATGTAGTTTATGCTTTATATCATGGGATTTAATTAACGTCAAATTGACAGATGTTTTTGGCATGAAACTGGAAAATGTTATATGGGATTTGGGTCCAATGAAACACTAAAAAGTCAAAAGGATAAAAAGTAATGTGTAACACCAACGTGCCATCCAATATGCCAGAGCAGGTACCACTAAGCCAAGAAGTTGACCACAGCAGGAGGCAACTTCAAACCTCAAAGTCCACCCCATGAGCTTCCCGCATCCGGCTCAAGATGGGCAAGCCTTAAAGTACCTTCGAATATTCTGAGCCTAAAGACCTGAATCCCACCCCTTGCCTACCGTCTACCCTGTGCCCTGGGTCATTCTCCGCACACTGTGCCGCTGAGCTCCTAGGCCTTGCCTTCAGCTGAGCTATGAAGACAAAGGCCCCAGGGGGCTTCCCGGTACACGTGTCAATACAGCACAGAGACACTTCTGCCAGAATCCGAATCTCCCTCTGCAAGCTCTGGGCTCCCTCATGCCAAAGGAAACGCAAGTAAGACACAAAATCCACACTTCTTATCATCATCTACGTACGGTGATGGGATTGATGGACGAAGAAAAGCAACCATTTTGCAATTGCAAGAGTACCAATCCATCAAGTAGACTGGGGTTATTTTTTCTTTCCATGGAAAGAAGTCTAGGTGGAACTTAATTTGATAAATTCTTAACATCATAATCCCTTTAAAAGATTAAAGTGTGCTCATTGCTGCTTTTTAAAATAACTAAATACCTGAGGAGTCCCCAGTGGTACATGCAATTAACTGCACGGTTCCTAACCAAAAGGGTGGTGGTTCAAAACCATCCAGAGGCACCTCAGAAGAAAGGCCTGGCAATCTGCTTCTGAAAGGTCATGGCCATGAAAACCTGATAAGGCAGTTCTAGTCTGCACCCATGAGGTCACCATGAGTCAGAACTGACTCATAACCAACTGGTTTGGTTTTTGGTCTGTACATCAGAACCCCTCTCCCATTCCACTACTTCTAGTATTTGACCATCCCAAGATCCCACCTACCCACCATGTAATACCCTAACAGGCTGTTTCATATCCCATAAGCTATGCTTCATAATATTACACTAATTTTAACTTTGTAAATGAAAAGGAAACTAAATGGTCAAAATGAATGATTTTTTTCCAAAATTATGTTCATTTCCCTCTTACTAATTATCCTTGTCCATTTTCCTGAAGCCACATCAAACATCCAATATCCTTTAAATCTTGCCCATTTGTCTACAACCACAGGGCAGAGCAAAAAAATACACAGAAAACTATGAAAAGATTCTGCCTTGGCTTTGCACAAATCACACGGTGTAAGTCCATAAGAGGGAAGTGAGGTTTTTAAAAGGAAACCAACGTGATCATCAGGAATCTGCATTCCAGACTCAGATGGCTACAGCCAGGTCCACTGACTTATTAGTCAGCATCGACTCCTGTTTGTTTTGCTGCCATATTTTTGTTTAAAAAACTGCTAAGTTGAACATGAAACACTGACTACAAAATTGCTCAGATTTACGCAAAACATTCATGGCTAACTTTATGCTTTTAGGTTTTTCAGTACGTTTGATGAACCATTACTGCAACCGCTTATTACTGCGCATTTATAGGAAACCACTGTATAATCAGAAACAACAGGCTGCCCAGCCAGCAGCTGTGGGACTGTAGGACGCCTTCTCTGCTCCCAAGAAACTGACACACTGACTTCCTTCCAGAGCTCTCGCTCTGTGCCGGATACATTAGCATATGAGAAATCAATACTCTGAATAGAAACAGAGGCTTAACAAAAGGTAATCTTCTGCAAATATAAATTTATGTGAACAGAAATGCCCTGTGGGAATACGAAATGGAAGATGTCGGGGCCTCAACCTCTCCGCATTAATAAGACTCCTTCCATGGTTGGGGGAACCGGACAGTGGCCCACGACGCTGGAATGTAAAATACCTCCTGCCAAGGTTGCAAACATGGTAAAATGGAGAAGATGATGCCTTTTTCCCAAATGATAAGAAGCATTACCTACAGCCGGACAATCACAAAAATAATAATAATAACCCTCTACTGCGTCTATCAAAGTGCAACTATTATGGTTTCAAAGCAGATTTTACTCTTCATGATCAAAACGTAAAATGTGACATTAGAGCAATACGATCGCCTACTTTACAACATGAGGAAAGGCGAATTCTGTGGCTCCTTTCTTTACAGTTCACTCTATTACAGTGAGCACAGCTGCCCCACCTCAAAAAAAAAAAACCGCAGAAAGCAGGTCAAAGGGCACATGGCCCCAACGGTGGACAAGTGAATGGGCCACGGTGCTTTCTTTGCCCTTTCTGAGTTAAGACCCCATCTCTCTGAGGTTCCTGGGGAAAGGAAACACATCCTGCAAGGTTCAAAGAGACCGCCGTCTATGTGTCGGCTTCCAGTCAGAATCCCGCTTTCTCACCACGTAGAGCTGCCTCCAGATGGTGGACCACTCCCGGAGTGTCGTGGTGACTTCCTGGATGAGTGGGAGGTCACTTGGAATGACCGTTTCATGTTGCCTGGGATGGAGAGAAGGAAGAACATCTCAGTCCACGGCGGCATGAACCACTGAGGCCTGTGCCTTGTAAATTCCCAATCAGGGCCACCGAGTTCGGGATTTAGGCAAACAGAAAGAAAAGCTAAAAATAGGACGATGTTCACACAGATAAGCACATACATCAAAGAACGATGAGTAGTATTTGTATGAAAAAAAAAAAAAAAACCAAACCCGTTGCCATCGAGCCAATTCTGACTCATAGTGACCCTACAGGACAGAGAAAAACTGCCCCATAGGGTTTCCAAGGAGCGGCTGGTGGATCTGAGCTGCCAATCTTTTGGTTAGCAGCCAAGCTCTTAACCACAGCGCCCCCAGGGCTCCAGTGTTTGCACAGATTTGAGAATGTTCATACATGACCCTGCATGTAAGCCTTCCCCTCACATGTCAAGGTTAGATAAAAGAGGTGAACCAGATCATATGCAAGTCCCCCGAAGGTCAGGGTTTGGGAAGTAGTCATAATGTGTGTGCCCATCTCTCTTACAGACGCCATAAATTACAACCAGCCTGCTGGCATTAAAATGCAAGTTTGGGTCAAGAGTATTCTTACATTTCCATCATGCACAATAGTCATTATGTGATAAAACGTGACAAAGTCATCCTCGGTGAAATATCAGAGGTTACGGCTTTCAGAGGTCCACAGGTACCCTCTCCGATCCCAAGTATGATTATCTGCTTACCCTTTTCGCCACCACAAAAAGGGAGCCCTTGACTGATGCTTGGGGTCAGGATCTTCACTAAACAGGACTCAGAAAGTTTGGGGCGGGGGCAGAGATTCAGTTTGTGGCTTGTGAAGTTAGGGCGCCTGTGTGTCCTGACTCCAACCAGCATGGAATGTCCAGGGACACGGATTAGGTGTCACCTACGTGCTTTATTTGCATGAGGCCTGGACCAGTGGGAAAGACACTGGCCGTGGCTCACACCTGGGCTTCAGACCTACAGGGACCTATGAATAGTAGGGGGCCCCAAAGGACAAAACAACCGAGTCCCGAGGAGAAAGCCAGTTTCCATGGAAAGTTCTAGCAGCATGTGCCACCCTGAGCAGCAGGGATCAGGCATCTAAGGGGGCTTGCCCCCAAGATCATGCTCAGGTGCGACTCCCTCAGTGTTTATGAAGGGATGTGACTGTTAACACAGCCCTGCCAAGTCTGTCCCCAGGTCTCCCTGTAAGGATATTGGTGGAGATGTTGTGCCTTACGCTATCAATGTCACCCTCACAAAGCCTCTGGGGAGAAGTTTCTCTCAGCTCACAGCATGAACCCATCTCATCAACCGGCTGTCTCCACCTTGCAGATCCCGAGTCTCCTGCTGCTTACACTGGCCTCTTCACGCTGCCTACTAGAAGGGATGCAGCTCGGTTAGCACCCAACTCTCATCAAGCGGGTAGCGGCCTTGCTCCCTGAGCGACATCCTGGCCTCGGCTGTGGTTCCTTCTTACCTTCCTCTCTCTTGCTAGGCCCGACCTGTCCCTGGGACTAACGTGCGAACCAGCTCTGAAGCATCTGATCTCGCTGTATTGTGTTATCTTTGTAACCACCTTGCCACCTGCCGGGATATCAGCAATATATCCACCCAGCAGATGCCTGCCTCGTTGATAAGACCAAGGGAAAGAACGCCAGGCAGAGTAGCTGCAAGAGGGCACAGGACACAGTGGATGCTCAGCCAATGGCGGTGACTATTTTCACTAACCAGGCCCTGCGGGGTCAAACTAGTCCTTGAGAGAAAAATCAGGGCTGGAGGTTCCAATCTGAGCAATACCCACGGAGAGGGAAGAGCTGAAGGTATGAGAACAACAGAGGTCCTCTCAAAAGGGAGACCCTGCAAGACAGTATGCAAGAGAGAGAGAAACCGTTCAAGAGACCATGAAAGACAGACCCTGCAAGAGAGACTCTGCAAGCGAGAAAGAGAAACTATGCAAAAAGAGAGGCTCTGCAAGAGAGAGACCCTGCAAGAGACACCATGCAAGAGAGAGATACTACGCAAGAGAGAGACAGGATAATGAAGTCTGAGAGGCAGGAGGCAGGCAGGGGAGGGATGAAAGAGTGGCCCACGTTGGGAAGGAGGAAGGACCAGCAGAAACGGGGAAGATGGACAGCCACAGACATCTGGGGTCAAAGGGAAAGTAGGAGGTGAGAGCAGCCATCAGGCCTGAAGGCAGGAGGGTCTTCGCAAGGAGGGAACAGCTAAGCAACCGGGTTTGGTGGACACAGCAGAATGCAGCCAGGTAACAGCAACCCAACGTGTCTCTGTCTGTCTGGGTGTGGCTTCCTTTATTTACTGAGAACAAAAATAATCTCTGGTTCACTTTATTATTATGCTTCATCATTCACATCCATTTTACATGTATTCTTTCATATATATCAAGGTACTTTTTAAGAAAGATTTAATCATATATGATCCGGCTTATAGCAGGCTTCTGATGCAGACAGATACAAAATACATCCAATGCACACTTTATTCCAGTTATTTCTACAAGTGGATGAAAGTTTCAAAAGGTGAGGCTTTTCTTTCTTCCCATGGTAACTTAGCATACAAAGCATTTTATCTAGATTAAAAAAAAAAAAAAAAAAGCCAGATTGCAGGCCATCTCTGTGTACGCTTCTAAATTATTTTCTTCGTTCTAATCATGCATCGTGGAACTCCAGAACCCCAACTAGCCTTTTTTGCATGTTAAAAGTCCAGTGCTTAGAAAGGCAATTTTGTAATCAGCCAAAGAGATGTCATTATGCAGTAATCATATGATTAGTAATTTTATAATTTACATATTTAACTGAGTGTGAAGATGTAGCAGAGACAAAAAAGGAAAACATTTTAATGTTCCTTCTTTCAAGTTCACACCTGGTTATTCGTTTGCCATTCCTGCCTAACGGACCCCTGCTTTACAAATGTCCTTTTAATGATCTTATACATCAGTTTTATGACCTCTAAGGAACATACATCACAATTAGGCAAAAAAGTAAATTCACACATGCCCCAATTTAACAACTGTTGCTTCACCCCCAATGCCATTTGTGCCGCAGCCTGAAGAGTCTTCCAGAAAATGCAATCAGAGCTGTGAGTGGGGAACCTCTCGGCTCACAGGGGAAGCCCAGAGCACCAGGGCTTCCAAATATCTGAGATTCAAGGAGCATGAGATTCTTCGAACAATCAAAAGCCACATCTTTCACAACTCTAATTTAGAAGTCTCCTCTCTCCCCTCAAAACTCTTTATTACATCACAGGCAATCACACCCATGCTCTTAACCCCCGGATACTACCCAGCCACACAAAAGAGCAACATGGCCGAATATAATCACTCTACGTCTCCGTTTAATCTTCAAGATCAGACTCACCCTTTTCCTTCAACTATTGCTTCTTTAAGATGAATGTATGAAGCAGGAAATATACCCTTTGGGGGAAAGAAAGACAGTCATTTGCATTATCAATATGAATACTGATTGTAAATCAAACAGCTGCCCCCCCCCCAAAAAAAAAAGGCAGGGTCAGGGTGGTTGGATCACTCTTAATTCAGCAAGTCTCATACGCAGCCTATCCAAGAAAAGATGCAGAAGTGTAAAAGGTGACAACACAATCGGCTAGCACTTCAAGCGACTGCTGACGGCTAGAAGAAAAGAGAAGCATTCTTTTCGCAAAGGAAAATTTCCACAAAGTCCTCCGTATTCTCCGGAGGTCACAGCTTCTTCTACTGCTGACCTGGACTCTGGTAGATCAACACCAGCTAATGCCTAAAGAACAATTTTCTGTTTTTTTAATTGTACTGTAGATGAAGGTATACAGACAAACTAGCTTCTCATTAAGCAGTTAGTACACATACTGTTTTATGACATTGGTTAACAACCCCACAACATGTCAACACTCTCCCTTCTCAACCTTGGGCTCCCCATTACCAGCTTTCCTGTCCCCTCTTGCCTTCTCGTCCTTGCCCCTGGGCTGGTGTGCCGGCCCCTTTAGTCTCATTTTGTTTTATGGGCCTAATTTTTGGCTGAAGGGTGAACCTCAGGAGTGGCTTCATTACTGAGCTAAAAAGGTATCCAGGTGCCTAAAGAACGATTTTTGATGGTCTCTGACAGTTTTCCCTTTCCAAAAATAAGAGATAAAACTGCCATCGAAAGCTGGTCACATGTGCACTGACTACTTACCGTGACACCCTGGGGACTTTCTCATGAAAAACAGGGGGGCCATCTGATAAACTACAGGAAGGTGGGCGAATCCACCCAATCTGCATGACTATTGGGATGGGAGTAGCTGACATTTACAGAGGGCTCCTCTACATTCCCAGCGCCACCCGCCTGCCAGCTCCTCACACTGATAGCTTGCATGTTGCTATGATGCTGGAAGCTATGCCACTGGCATTTCAAATACCAGCAGACAGACTGGCTGATTTGGAAAGACAGATCTCTAGGCCTTTCCTCCTAGTCTGTCTTAGTCTGGATGCTCTGCTGAAACCTGTTCGGTATTGAACTGGGGTCACCCAAATGGAAGGCGAGAAGGAAGAGTTACTACAGCCCTACTCAGCTCTGATGTGTCAATGAGCTGTGAAGGCAGGGCACCCCAGTGCAGGGCAGGAAGGACTGTGGCTCGGGGAGGCCCAGGGGAGATGGGAAAGAGCCAAAATTAGGGAAAACCAAAAAACCAAACCCGCTGCTGTCGAGTCGATCCCAACTCACAGCGACCCAATAGGATAGAGTAGAACTGCCCGGTAGGGTTTCCAAAGAGCAGCTGTTGGATTCGAACTGCCGACCTTTCAGTTAGCAGCCGAGCTCTCAACCACTCCACCACCAGGGCAACGAATCCCAAATCAGCATTGAAGGAAAGTGAGCGTGTGCCGGGGGTCACACCTAGCAAGTGAAACTGCAGGTTTGTCATATGTGGGGATGGGAGGGTGAGTGAGGGGGACAGTTACCCACGATCCTAATCTCTTTTTCACTAAAGTCTTCACGTGTGGCTTGCACAGATAAAGCTGAGGGTTCATCTGCGGGAACACACTCGTGATTACAGAAGGAGAAATCAGTGTGAAAACAGAACTTTCCTTAAGGAAACCTGTTTCACCGTCCGGCTGGCTGGTATCTATCTTGTCAAACCTCACGCTCCATCCAGGTCATTGGATGTGTAGGGATGTGTAATGATGCACAGCCCAGCTCTGTGAACTGGAGGCGGAGGGGCTGGGGGTAGGAGGTCTTGTTCCATCTGCAGACTTGGCTAACCAACATTCCTGAGAGCATGTCTCACAGGACAACATCAGCCTTGACTGACTATGTCCGGGGAAGGCTGGAATGGACATCAGCCTGGACCCTCACCCAATAACCGCCCTACTCAAGGATGAGCAGCTTCCCAGCCCTTGCAGCTCCGCCTGGCCTGGCAGAGCCTGACGGCTCTGGAGACAGCAATGCAGAAAGGCCCCGGAGCTGCTGGACGTCAGAAGCCTTAGGTACAGGGTCAGGGACACAACCAGAGGTCCAGCCCACTGAGGTGATAATGACAGGCAAATGTAACACAGAGAAGTAAAATGAACCATCTGTCCAGCATAATTAGATATGAAGATGCATAAGTTACCGTGGACAGCCTAACCATGGCTTCAAATGGACATTACTTGAAAATCTTAACATCGTACCACAAAATGGAAGAACCATAATTAGTTTTGATGAAGCTAAGAATGGAAGGACCACAACAGAACTGTGTACGGGAGTGCCCGCCACAATGATCCGGGGTGTAATTACATGCCTTCCTTTCAGAAATTCAAATGACCACGCATGCAAGCAGTCCTGGGGAAGCAGAAGCTTTCTTTTGCAACCGACTTAAAGAGTTTAAAATGAGCCCTGAGCAGGAGGGAAAGAAGCATGCATGCACTGGGCAAATTTGTTAATGTATCAGAAAGGGTACGATCGAAAATCATGGGCAGTATCTTTTTTTCTGAAGTCATTATACTCAGACCATTCTCTTACACACCCAGTGTCTAAATAGGATGCAAAATTCTATCAGGAAATGAAGACAAGGCCACTTTTTATGATAAGCACTCAGCACTGTATCACAGCCCAGCAATTTACCCATGGGAATGAGGCTGCAATTTCTGCCTAATGTATTGCTCAGAAGAAAATAATTCAAGTCAGTTCCACATTTCAACCCATATATTTTTTAAATTAAGAGAGAGAGAGATAAGTAAAATTCTTAGACACAAATGAGATGGAATTGATTTCCTCTCACAGTTTGATTTATGAAGGGACACGCATTGTGTTTAATAGAAAGAAGGACTTACCTTCTTAGATTTTTTTCTTAAGGTGTAGCCTCGGTACCACCCTAAACAAACACAAAGTGGAAACAATGAGTTGGGGGAGACGTAACAAAGCTGTAACAATATCTCTGAGTTATACAGAGCTCATATTCTTGCATAACCAGTCAAATCACCAGTACGGTCACCAGAATTCCATAATCCTGAGGCTGTGGAGATAATTTAGGGACTTCGTAGAGAGCATTCCAAAAGGGACTTTTGACACGGCTGGTAACCTTCACAGAGACCTCCAGCTCCTTCCTGCCCATCTTCTTTTTTTGGCCTAGAAACTGGGCAATCTGAAATTAAGAAGCACGGTTCCAAGAAGAGGCCTTGACTTTTTGAGAACTGTCCTCAAGGAGGTTGCTTGATTCATAAATGTTCTATCACTCCCTCGGCCTGACTTGGGTCGGGGTCACTGACAAGTGCACATACCAGCATTCTCAGATCATCAAGCACTGATCCACAACAGAAAACCTATTGAGAGCTCATTTCCTCCCTGTTCAATACGGAGGGACGCTGCCCTGGAGCAGCCAGGATCTCACAAAGTACTTCTGTGGCACACAGGCCCTCACAGGAAACTCAAGGGCCGGGGACACAGACCCACCTACCCCTTGGGGTTTGGCCCAGACTCAAGTTCCCATCCCCTCCGTGTGCTGAGAAAAGAAATCAGCAAGGACAAAAAGGGGGGCACGCCAGAACTGTGGGCACAGATCTAACGTTTGATGGAAGAGTCCCTCCAGTGATGGATCAGGCCTGACCACACCCCTAGTGCCTCCCGTCTGGCTGAGGGCAGAGGCTTGACCTGCAAATGCCAAGGGGTACATGGCCAGTAACTGGTCTCCCAATGGCTCCATCCCTGCACCATGTCAGAGAGATGATCTTTATCCCAACATTTGAAGTTGCTTCGGGCCACCTCATGTCTAGAAAGTCAATCAAAAGTTCAGAGACCAATCCCAACTGTGCATCCACAGGAGCAAAAGGACTCCATCAGAGAATTACAGACAGCCCTTGGGAAGCGCGAGCTGGGGAAATTCCCAGAGAATAACCAAATGTTGGGTTTTTGTACATTGTCAAGAGTCAAACTTCAAAAACCAGGGATGCATAAGTGAGAGAGCACAAAAAGAAACCAAAAATGGGCAGATGTTACAGAGGTTTGCCCTCCATCCCTCCTGAATGTCCTAATTTTAACAACCAGGGGTGGAGGGGTGATTACGGACCAGAAAGCAATGAGGCTATAAAGAACAATATCCTCCAAGGATTATTAAATAGATGCTTTCTAAGCATCAGAAGACAGAGATTCCCAAGAGCCTTGCAAAAGACTTGCAAAGACCCAGTTAGACCCACACAGACCCACTTCACGGTCTCCACGTGGGGACTCAGCATATTGACCAGGTAGTGTTGCAAATACAGTGTCTTGACTTCCGCCACACACTTGGGGGATTATCTCCTGATAGACACAGTGTCTAGTTCAGTGACTCATCAGGGCCCATTGGTGACAAGTGTTCACAGAGAGTAAAATGGAAAAAAGTGGAAGGTCAAAAAAAGCTCTATTTACTCAATTTAAAGGAGTCTTCTTGATCATGTTATTATATTCTTTCTGCATTTTCGGCATTAATACGTCTTTCCTTTCAAAAACTGATAAGGGATTAATGCCCTTGAATGCACAAGGAAATATAGCAAACCAAGTAAAAAATAAACAAAGCGTATAAACTGTGTAAAGAAGAGAAACCCCGAAACACATATATGAAGAGATCCTCAAATGTACTAATCATCAGAGAAATGAAAACTTAAATACTTTATCACTGCGCAGTCATTGGAGAGGTCAAAGTCAGCATGTTGCAGAACATAGCATAACCAGCGTGCTGGAGACAGAACCAACAGCCATCATGGGTGCACCATTTTGCGAGCAGAACCATTCCAATGGATGGAGATTTGGGGAGCAACTCAATCATCTTGGGAAGAAGCAGCACTCCTCCAATGGGCTGGGTACCAGGTGGTGACCCACCTGGGATAGGGTGCAAAGGATGCCTGCTGGGTTGGAGGCTGGCCTGGAGGCCACAGTGGTCACTTCTGAGATGGGAGACTTAGCAATACATTTTCCTTTTCCAGTCTTTGCAAGACCTTCAGTTGACAAAAAAGCTGATGCAGGTGGCCAGAAAAAGAATTAAGATGTATTTTGGAAGAAAACAGATCTCACCACTTTTAAAACTTTGAATAATTTAAGTTCTGATGTTGTAGATTAATCAAAAGAATGATTTCCTAATCTCTGTGCCATGCCTGCAATTTCCTTTAGGTACAACATCCAGACTAAAACACACTCGGAAGAAGGGCCTGGTGATCTACTTCTGAAAATTAGCCAACGAAAACCCTGTGGATCACAACGGTCTGATCCAAACCCATCATGGGGGTGATGCAGGGCCAGACAGTGTTCCATTCCATTGTGCAAGGGGTCACCATGAGTCAGGGACCAACATGACAGCAGCTAACAAAAGCAGCAGCATCCAGCCCCAGGGATCTTTATGGAAAGGAGGAGCCAGCAGGGTTAGTACATTGTGGACACACGAAGGCCACTTAATAAACATCTGTGACCTCGGCTGGCCTCTCCTGGCTGTTGACTACAGACACCTGTGTAAAGGCAGGGGCTTGCCTCAAATGACGCCCTTTTTCCAAGTCTGCAGTGATCTAAGGTTCCTCTTCTTTATGCCATGCACCAAGCCTTCAAGAGCCTGAGAGAAAGAAATTAACTATCACTTGAAGGTAAATTTGTTCTCTGAGCCTTAAAATAAAGAGTGATCATCTAGAAATTATATTTCCTGGAGCAAGCTCAGTAATGCCTTAAAAAGGATCACAGAGAAAAAGAATTAAATTTGACAAACAGAAACAGATTTTCTAGGGGAGTAGTGAGAGGAAATAGGAAAGAAAAAGAACACACCAAACTTTAATACAATCCATGAAATTTAAACAGCACAAGAGGAAAAAGTAGACATACCAGATGGAACTAAAGCATCCCATGTTTGCTTGATGATAATGAAGTTCTCAAGTCTCCCGGTCAGAATTCCTGCATTTCTCTGATCAGATCGTGGATAACGTCAAAACGTTCATTGTTAAAGAAGGAGATTTCGTTTTATGCTAAAGATTCCTTTAAAAAGACTGGAATTATTTTCATCATAATCTAGGAAAACTGACTAGCCCGGAAAATAAATGCTCAGTGAAGACTCTTTAAGGAGCACAGTTCGCACAGTGGTTACGCACTCAGCTGCAAACCAAAAGGTTGGTGGTTCAAATCCACCCCACAGCTCCATGGGAGAAAGACCTGGTGATCTGCTCCTGTAAAGATTACAACCTAGGAAACTCTATGCAGCGGTTCTACTCTGTCCTATAGAATCCATACGAGTTAGAATCAACTTGAAAGGAATGGATTGAGGTTTGGTTTGAAGACTCTTTATCATGACGGCCAAAAAGTCAAATATCTGCCATCAAATTTTTGAAAATGTTAAACGCGTAACAAGGGCCACTGACCCGCCTTATGATCCCACTGTTGGAAGACTACACTTTTCCTATGACACCAAGAACGAGAAGTGGCCATTCCTGCATCCAGAACCGCACTTGTTAACGACTCCAGAACGACATCACTGTCCAGTGATCATTAACCGGGATTTCATCTTCAACTGACCAGGAGCAAAAATACAGAAGATAAAAGAGCACTTTCCTCCAGATCAGAAAAGCATCTGAGCTGAGGTTTGGTCCTTACCCCACCTAATTTCTCTCTGTTTCCTCTCATCATTGGCAACGCATAGCAGACAAGAAAATCCAACTGTCGGCTGTAAAAATTGAAACCAAGCAGAACGCGCCCATCACGACTACTCATACACTTAAGGGCTGGGTCGGCTGTGCGGCGCGACATCTGCTTCTAGGCGTATCCACTAATGCAGACTCCTCCCATCCCCCACCACCACATAGGGCTTTTTTAGGGTAAAAGGCGCAAATGGGATGGAATTCTAAGGCAGCTTAAGTCAGACGGGGAAATAAGGGCTACTTAATAGGTTTATGCTTTAATAGATATGTGCTTCCAGAGGTGTCTACAAGGAACTCATGGCCAGTGGCAGCTTGCCTGGGGTGCAGAAACGTAGAGTCTCTTCACTCTTGTGCAAAGTAGATTTCAAAGACAGGCTGTGAAATTCAACGTGATTACGAGGAGAGTCCCTGAAAGGTGGGCGGTTAGAACCTACCAGTGGCTCTGCAAGAGAAGAGACCTGGCCATCTGCTCCCATAAAGATGATGGCCTAGAAAACCTATGGGGCAGCTCTACTCTGTCCTATAGGGTCACTGTGAGTCGGAATTGACTCCACGGCACACGACAACAGTGATGTCCTTATGTGGTGCAAATGGTTACTGCGCTCGGCTGCTAACCGAAAGGTTGGAAGTTTGAGTCCACCCAAAGGCACCTCGAAAGAAAGACCTGACAATCTACTTCCAAAAACTCAGCCACTAACCCTATGGAATGGAGTTCTACTCTGACACACATGGGGTTGCCCTGAGTCAGAATCAGTTTGCAGGCTAACTGTTTTTTGGTTTTTTCTCCTATGGGTTGTCTGCATTTTCCTCCTCTACCTCCGTTCCCACCTCCTACTTGGAAGAGTTTAGAGAAACCCTATCTAAAAGCAAGCTTGCTGTTGATATAAATGATTTCAATCACTTTTTATTAACATGCTATATGGAAATCACTCTTTCAAGCAGAAAATAAAGTCACCACCACTAAAATACAATCTTACAAAACCTGCAGATCTGTGGAATCCTTAAAGGCGTGCCAATCATGGCTTCCCTTCTCTGCAACAATGACCACAGCACACCACCAACGATGACCTTCAGAAAATTGACAAAACACTGAATATGAAAACCAGTTGCCTGAAAAACCAAAGGCATCAGAAAGCCACTGTCACCAACAGTATATTTACTGGATTATTAAAACAATTGCCCCGATGGAGCAGGAGAAAGGTGGGGTGCCGAACTCAAATTCTAGTAAGAAGACCAGACTTAATGGTCTGACTGAGACTGAAGGAACCCTGGAAAGCATGGGCCCTGGATTCTCTATCAGCCCAGAATTAAAGCAAATTCCCAGGCCAACTCTCCAGACAGGGACTGAACTGGACTGTGGGACATAAAGTGATACTCGGGAGGAGTGTGCCTCTAAGCTCAAGTAGATACAAGAGACTAAACAGGCAGCTTCTGTCTGGAGGTGAGATGGGAAGGCAGAGAGGGTCAGGAGCTGGTTGAATGGACATGGGGAATCAGGGTGGAAAGGAGGAGAGTGCTGTCACAGTATGGGGAGAGCAATTAGGGTCACATAACAATGCATGTATAAATTTTTGTATGGGAGACTAACTTGAAATGTAAACTTCATTTAAACTACAACAATTTTAAAAAAAATTGCTTTACTGGGCCACAGACATGCCACATAACTGTGACAAACTTTGTTCACCCCTAAGAAAATGGAGGTCACAGATTAAAAAAAACAACAGGAAAGCAAAGAAAATTAAGAAAGGACAATTTGAGGTTCATATGATGCATATTGTTAACAAATACAAATGAAAGCATAAAAAAGGTCATCAATTCACATCAAACACATCAAAACAAAGAAAAAAATCGGAAATAACGTAAGTATATTTTCTTTCAAGTGGCTAGCTATTAACAGTTAACACTTCTATATAAATGCATAAACAAACAAACAAAAAAAGAAGCTACCAGTGAGTTTTTAAATGAAAATAGTAATTTCAACAGAGGATTTCAGAAGTAAAAATGGGAAATTTTAGTTGTTCGTCTGAATAAAGAACTATTTATATAACAGCTGGTCTCCCTTACTGCCCTTACCTGAAATAAAACCAAACCAAACCCATTGCCGTCGCATCGATTCCGACTCATAGCGACCGTAAAGGACAGAGCATAACTGCCCCACAGGTTTCCAAGAAGCGCCTGGTGGATTTGAACGGCCAACCTTTTGGTCAGCAGCCAAGCTCCTAACCACTACCTCATCCATAATATAAAACTACTGATCATCTGAGAAAGGAACATGATTACACATACTTTCTTCAGAGGGTAACATTCTGTCCGTTAGGCGGTGAGAAAGTGTGCCAAACGCCCAAGAGAACAGACTCACCTTCATATGTTTCCAAGATGTGCACCGTGTCACCTATCTGTAGAGAAAGCTCATCGGCTCCCCTGGCGTCATAGTTATAAAAAGCTGTTAGGAAGGAAAGGAGGAAAAGATATTAACAGAGATGGAAGTGACCATGCTGGGTTACTATTGTTTTTAATATCAAAATACGTTCAGTCTTTGCACTCATCATCCCCTCTGATACCCATGAAGTCGCCTTATCTTCCACGGACAAATATAAGTATCATCAGTGCCAATAGGAGAAATTCATTCCGCAGAACACCAGACAACCATAAGTGGATTTTTACAATAGGAAGAAAACCGACAAAGGCAGCAACAACTGTCGAATAGCCACTTTATACACTAGTTTCATTTCCAGTAATGGCTTTTCTTAAGAAATGACTTTTTCCTAACTATGAATCAATGATACATAGACTAAATAGTCTTTGGAAACCAAATTGATAAAAAATTATTTTATGGCTCATGAGGATATTAAGCCGCTAAGCTACATTACAATCTAAGTCAGCAAAGAATATGTCCAACATTAACAACTGGCCCTTAAAATTGACAATAATCAAGAAATGTTTGAAATCCCAAATGTTTATCCTGACATAAAGCCATTCTGATTTTGCAACAGGGTTATCTTTCTCCGAAGTGTTGCTGTGGTTGTCAGGTGCCATCAAGTTGGTTCCAACTCATAGCGACTCTACCTACAGCAGAATGAACACTGCCGGTTCCTAGGCCAACCTCACAATCCTCGCTATGCTTGGGCCCATTGTTGCAGCCACTGTGTCATTCCATCTCGTTGAGGGTCTTCCACTTTTTCACTAACCCTATACTTTACCAAGCACGATGTCCCCCTGATAACATGTCCAAAATACATAAGACCAAGTGTTGCCATCTTGCTTCTAAGGAGCATTCTGGCTGTGCTTCCAAGATAGATTTGTTCGTTCTTCTGGCAGCCCGTGGTATATTCAATACTCTTCACCAACACCATAATTCAAAGGCATCAATTCTTCTTTGGTCTTCCTTATTCATTGTCCAGCTTACACATGCATAGGGGGCAAATGAAAATACCATGGCTTGGGTCAGGCACACTTTAGTCCTTAAAGTGACATCTTTGCTTTTTAACACTTTAAAGCGGTCTTTTGCAGCATATTAGCCTAATGCGATATGCCATTTGATTTCTTGACTGCTGCTTTCATGGGTGTTGATTGTGGATGTGAGTAAAACGAAATCCTTGACAACGTCAGTCTTTTCTCTGTTTATCATGATGTTGCTTGTTGGTCCAGTTGTGAAGACTTTTGTTTTCTTTATGTTGAGGCGTAATCCATACTGAAGGCTGTAGTCTTTGATCTGCATCAGTAAATGCTTCAAATCCTCTTCGGTTTCAACAAGCAAGGTTGTGTCATCTGCATATGGTAGGTTGTTAATGAGTCTTCCTCCAATCCTGATACCCCATTCTTCTTCATTTAGTCCAGCTTCTCAGATTATTTGCTCAGCAGCAGATTGAATAAGTATGGTGAAAGGATACAACCCTGATGGACAGCTTTCCTGATTTTAAATCACTCAGGTAAACCACACAGTTTAGGAGTCTAGAAATCTGAATTCAGAGCGCCAGCTCTAGGGGAAGGCTTTCTCTCTCTGTCAGCTCTGGAGGAAAGTCCTTGTCTTTTCAGCTTCTGCTTTGTGGTTCCTTGGAGATCTCCATGTGTCTTGGCATCTGTTGTACCCGATCTCTTCTCTGCTTGCTTGTTTAATATCTGTTATATCTCAAAAGAGATTATCTCAAGACAAATCCTACACTAATCCTGCATCATTAACAAAGACAATCCATTCCCAAATGGAATTATAACCATAGGCATAAAGGTTAGGATTTACTATACATATTTTTGGGGGACACAATTCAATCCATAAAATTCTACTCTTTGGGTCCCCCAAATTCATGTCCTTCCCACATGCAAAACGTTCACCCCATCACATCATCCCAAAAGTCTTAAATCAACTCCAAGTCTAAAATCACATCTTCTGAATCATCTGAATCAAATATGGATGAGACTTTAGGCGTATTCCATCCTGGGGCAAAATTCCTCTTCATCTGTGAACCTGTGAAATCTAGAATACAAGTTATCTGCTTCCAAAATACAATGGCAGAACAGGCACAAGGTAGACATTTCCATTACAAATGGGAGAAATTGGCAGAAAAGGGGTAACTGCACCAAGCAAGACCAAAACCCAGCAGAACACATTACATTAGCTCTCAAGGCTTGAAAATAATCCTCTGTTCTCTGAGACCATCCATCTAGGCATTGGCCCTGCCCTCTAGACTCTGGGTGTCGGCCACTGTCTCTGGATTCTGGGTGGCGGCCCCTCAGCCCTGGGCTTCAGCTTCACCTTCCATGCACAATGGGAATGCAACTCTGCTCCCTTGGCTTTGGGCAGCCCCATTCTCCTAATCCATCTGAGTGGTGACCCACCCTCTCGGCCCCAGTAAGCCTCTTTCCTCTGCCCCTTGCGCATGGCAGCTCTGCCCCTTCAGCTTTGGGCAGCAGCCCCATCCTCTTCACCAAACTGAATGGTAGTCTCACCAGAACCAAGCTGGTAAAGATCTGACTCTTTGAAACCTAGGAGATGGGGTTCTACCCTTTGACACACCAGAGGCCATGGCCCCACCTTTGAGACCCCAGAGGCCGTGGCCCCACCCTTTGAAAGAAGAAGACCCTGCTTCCCACGCTCCTTCCAACAGTTCTGCTGATCTCTGAGCTGCTCCAGGGATGTTCCTTTTCTTTTTTTTGGAGGACAATGGACATAGCTCCTTTGGCCTGTTTCCTGAGTGCAGAATTCCAAGAGGAAGACAGTGTTCTTTCCTTTTGTTCCTTCTCTGTCCCCATCAGTCTAAGGTGATGGGTTTTCTGCTGTGGTAATTTAGTATATCCATCAGTCATGGGCTTAATCTTTTTACCAAAAGATTGTGAGGCCATGTCCTTGGTGAAAATTCTAGAACACATGTCCTTAGTTAGTACAACAGAATTTTCCAAATCTTTATGTTTTGTTTTCATTTTGCACAGTTCATTTTTAAGTCCGTCTCTTTCCTCTCACATTTTACTATAAGCGGTGAGGAGAAACTACAGGGCCCCTTTAAGATATTGCTTAGAAATCTCCTCAGCCAGATATCCAAGTTCATCACTTAGAAGTTCTACCTTCCACCAAACATTTGAACATAATTCAGGTTAAGTTCTTTGCCACTGCATAAAAAGCACTGCCCTTCCTCCACTGTCCAATCACATGTTCATCATTTTCTTTTAAAGCCTCACCAGAAGCACATTTAACATCCACATTTCTAGCAACATTCTGTTGCTGGCACCATATGTAATCTCTAAGACGATAGAGACTTTCTCTACAGCTCTCCTCATTTCCTTCTGAGCCCCCACCAGAACTGCCTTTGACGTCCATAATTCTACCAACAGTCTCTTCGAGGCAATCTAGACTTTTACTATCAGGCACCTTAAAACTCTTTCAGTGTCTACCAACTATCCAATTCCAAAAGCATTTCCACATTTTAGGTATCTGTTAGAGCAGCATCCCAGTTTTCTGGTACCAAATTCTGTCTTAGTAATCTACTGCTGCTACAACAGAAATACCAGAAGTAGACAGCTTTCACAAACAGTTTTCTCACAATTTAGAAGGTTAAAAGGCCAACTTCAGAGCGTCAGCTCAAGTAGAAGGCTTTCCCTCTCCTTCAGCTCTTGAGGAAAGTCCTTGCCTCTTCAGCTTCTGCTTCCTGGACAATCTTCATGTGGCTTGGTATCTCTCTTCCCTCATCTCTGCTTCTTCTTGCTTGTTAATCTCTTTTATATCTCAAAAGACATTGACTCAAGACACTCTACACTAATCCTGTCTCATTACTATAACAAAGACAACCCATTCCCAAATGGGATTATAATCACCGACATGCAAATTATGATTTATAACACATATTTTTGGGGGATAAAATTCAATCCATAACAAGACCCAAAAAATATTCAACTAGCCTACTCTTATTTAAAAAAAAAAGTCACATCTCTCCCACCCAATGGATTCTACCTAATAACATGTAGAACTCACTGTAAAATGCATCTTCAAAATCACAACTGAATTTCTCATCCATCCATCATGTATACTCTAGCAGACTAAACCAGTTGATTTCAATGGCTAGTTTTCAGAAGCAGATGGACAGGCCTGTCTTCTTATCGATAACTATGTGATAGGATTGTGGGAGTATTTTGTGTCTTAAAGAAAATAATGCCAACGACAGACTCAAGGATAAAGGTTCTTATTGTGGTTGTGGGTATTTAGTTTCTACTGTTATACAAACTTCTATCACTACCAAAATCATTTTTAAGAAGTCAAAGTAAGCATACTACTCCATGTTCACAAAAATTCTAAAATAATCAAAAACCATACATATGTAGAAAACTCCATTTTCTTGGGTATTATCTTATATTTTCACAAAAATTCATAAAATTTACATGTCCTCAACTGACATAAATGGTCATTAGGAGTTACAAAATTTATTTAGTATTTTATGTGACTCTTTAACAAAAAATGGCCCCATCCGGTGACAGAAACTCAGAGCATATGGGAAATGTCCCCAGTTCAATGTAACCATATTCCTAAGCCTTTAGGAGCCATAATGCATTTATCACAGTTCTTAACAGCATACCTGCCAGCATGCCTATTGTGTTACAGAAGTGGAAAAAGCAAACATATCAAAAATAAAAATACTGATGTACTTATGTTCTAATCAGCACATCAACTTTGGGGGTAAACTTTAAAAACGTTTTGTCTTTTTAATCCTTGCCTTCTAAACAACCTCATACAGCCCAGCTACATAATGTTGGCTGTCACGGGCATTGTACTTTTATCTAATTTTGTTTCCTCTAAATTCAGTTTCCCAGTAATGTTTAAAATCTTGTGAAATGTTTAGATTTCTAACACAGACCCTGGTCATAAAATCTGTACATTAACGTATTAGGGTCAGAGGGTAGGAGAAACAAAGTTCTGCCATATTGTAATTTCCAGTGCAGGCTTTTTTTTTTTTTAATTAG